AGACCGTTGTTCCTTTCCCTTCTGCTGGGGTTCTGGCTGTCCCAGTTCCTTTAGATGGTGACACTGTTGTCCCAGAACCCTGAGCAGATGATCCAGTTGTTGCAAACTCCCCAGGTGCCACACCAGTGGTTCCTGACATTCCACCTGTTGGGCCAGTGGTTCCTGTCCCTCCCTCAGATGGCCTGCTTGTTACAGGTCCTTCAGATGATGATTCAGGTGTTTGAGACCCTTTAGCAGATGTTTCAGTTGTTTCTGATTCTGATGTTCCAGTTGTCCCTGATTCTCCAGGTGTTACAACAGTGGATCCTGGCATTTCAACTGTTTGACCAGTTGTTCCTTTCTCTTCTGCTGGGGTTCTGGTTGTCCCAGTTCCTTCAGATGGTGATTCAGTTGTCCCTGTCCCTCCAGCAGATGACCTGGTTGTCCCTGGTCTTTCAGATGATGATTCACTTGTTCCTGAACCTCTGAAGGATGTTCCAGTTGTCCCTGATCCTTCAGGTGCTACACCAGTAGTTCCTGACATGTGACCCATTGAGACCGTTGTTCCTTTCCCTTCTGCTGGGGTTCTGGTTGTCCCAGTTCCTTCAGATGATGATTCACTTGTTCCTGAACCTCTGAAAGATGTTCCAGTTGTCCCTGATCCTTCAGGTGCTACACCAGTAGTTCCTGACATGTGACCCATTGAGACCGTTGTTCCTTTCCCTTCTGCTGGGGTTCTGGTTGTCCCAGTTCCTTCAGATGATGATTCACTTGTTCCTGAACCTCTGAAAGATGTTCCAGTTGTCCCTGATCCTTCAGGTGCTACACCAGTAGTTCCTGACATGTGACCCATTGAGACCGTTGTTCCTTTCCCTTCTGCTGGGGTTCTGGTTGTCCCAGCTCCTTTAGATGGTGATTCTGTTGTCCCAGAACCCTGAGCAGGTGATCCAGTTGTTCCAGATTCTGACATTCCTGTTGTGCCTGATCCTCCAGGTGTTACAGCAGTAGTTCCTGACATGGGAACCATTGAGACTATTGTTCCTTTCCCTTCAGCTGGGGTTCTGGCTGTCCCAGTTCCTTTATATGGTGACTCTGTTGTCCCAGAACCCTGAGCAGATGATCCAGTTGTTGCAAATTCCCCAGGTGCCACACCAGTGGTTCCTGACATTCCACCTGTTGGGCCAGTTGTCCCTGTCCCTTCAGCAGATGACCTGGTTGTCCCTGGCCTTTCAGATGATGATTCCCCTGTTCCTGAACCTCTGAAAGATGTTCCAGTTGTCCCTGATCCTTCAGGTGCTACACCAGTAGTTCCTGACATGTGACCCATTGAGACCGTTGTTCCTTTCCCTTCTGCTGGGGTTCTGGCTGTCCCAGTTCCTTTAGATGGTGACTCTGTTGTCCCAGAACCCTGAGCAGGTGATCCAGTTGTTGCTAATTCCCCAGGTGCCACACCAGTGGTTCCTGACATTCCACCTGTTGGGCCAGTGGTTCCTGTCCCTCCCTCAGATGGCCTGCTTGTTGCAGGTCCTTCAGATGATGATTCAGGTGTTTGAGACCCTTTAGCAGATGTTTCAGTTGTTCCAGATCCTGATGTTCCAGTTGTCCCTGATTCTCCAGGTGTTACAACAGTGGATCCTGGCATTTCAGCTGTTTGACCAGTTGTTCCTTTCTCTTCTGCTGGGGTTCTGGTTGTCCCAGTTCCTTTAGATGGTGATTCTGTTGTCCCAGAACCCTGAGAGGGTGATCCAGTTGTTGCTAATTCCCCAGGTGCCACACCAGTGGTTCCTGACATTCCACCTGTTGGGCCAGTTGTCCCTGTCTCTCCAGCGGATGACCTGGTTGTCCCTGGTCTTTCAGATGGTGATTCAGTTGTCCCTGTCTCTCCAGGAGATGACCTGGTTGTCCCTGGCCTTTCAGATGATGATTCCCCTGTTCCTGAACCTCTGAAAGATGTTCCAGTTGTCCCTGATCCTTCAGGTGCTACACCAGTAGTTCCTGACATGTGACCCATTGAGACCGTTGTTCCTTTTCCTTCTGCTGGGGTTCTGGTTGTCCCAGTTCCTTTAGATGGTGATTCTGTTGTCCCAGAACCCTGAGCAGGTGATCCAGTTGTTCCAGATTCTGACATTCCTGTTGTGCCTGATCCTCCAGGTGTTACAGCAGTAGTTCCTGACATGGGAACCATTGAGACTATTGTTCCTTTCCCTTCAGCTGGGGTTCTGGCTGTCCCAGTTCCTTTATATGGTGACTCTGTTGTCCCAGAACCCTGAGCAGATGATCCAGTTGTTGCAAATTCCCCAGGTGCCACACCAGTGGTTCCTGACATTCCACCTGTTGGGCCAGTTGTCCCTGTCCCTTCAGCAGATGACCTGGTTGTCCCTGGCCTTTCAGATGATGATTCCCCTGTTCCTGAACCTCTGAAAGATGTTCCAGTTGTCCCTGATCCTTCAGGTGCTACACCAGTAGTTCCTGACATGTGACCCATTGAGACCGTTGTTCCTTTCCCTTCTGCTGGGGTTCTGGTTGTCCCAGTTCCTTTAGATGGTGACTCTGTTGTCCCAGAACCCTGAGCAGGTGATCCAGTTGTTGCTAATTCCCCAGGTGCCACACCGGTGGTTCCTGACATTCCACCTGTTGGGCCAGTGGTTCCTGTCCCTCCCTCAGATGGCCTGCTTGTTGCAGGTCCTTCAGATGATGATTCAGGTGTTTGAGACCCTTTAGCAGATGTTTCAGTTGTTTCTGATTCTGATGTTCCAGTTGTCCCTGATTCTCCAGGTGATACAGCTGTGGTTCCTGACATTCCACCTGTTGGGCTAGTTGTCCCTGTCCCTTCAGCAGATGACCTGGTTGTCCCAGTTCCTTCAGATGGTGATTCCCCTGTTCCTGAACCTCTGAAAGATGTTCCAGTTGTCCCTGATCCTTCAGGTGCTACCCCAGTAGTTCCTGACATGTGACCCATTGAGACCGTTGTTCCTTTTCCTTCTGCTGGGGTTCTGGTTGTCCCAATTCCTTTAGATGGTGATTCTGTTGTCCCAGAACCCTGAGAGGGTGATCCAGTTGTTGCTAATTCCCCAGGTGCCACACCAGTGGTTCCTGACATTCCACCTGTTGGGCCAGTTGTCCCTGTCTCTCCAGCGGATGACCTGGTTGTCCCTGGTCTTTCAGATGGTGATTCAGTTGTCCCTGTCCCTCCAGGAGATGACCTGGTTGTCCCTGGCCTTTCAGATGATGATTCCCCTGTTCCTGAACCTCTGAAAGATGTTCCAGTTGTCCCTGATCCTTCAGGTGCTACACCAGTAGTTCCTGACATGTGACCCATTGAGACCGTTGTTCCTTTTCCTTCTGCTGGGGTTCTGGTTGTCCCAGTTCCTTTAGATGGTGATTCTGTTGTCCCAGAACCCTGAGCAGGTGATCCAGTTGTTCCAGATTCTGACATTCCTGTTGTGCCTGATCCTCCAGGTGTTACAGCAGTAGTTCCTGACATGGGAACCATTGAGACTATTGTTCCTTTCCCTTCAGCTGGGGTTCTGGCTGTCCCAGTTCCTTTATATGGTGACTCTGTTGTCCCAGAACCCTGAGCAGATGATCCAGTTGTTGCAAATTCCCCAGGTGCCACACCAGTGGTTCCTGACATTCCACCTGTTGGGCCAGTTGTCCCTGTCCCTTCAGCAGATGACCTGGTTGTCCCTGGCCTTTCAGATGATGATTCCCCTGTTCCTGAACCTCTGAAAGATGTTCCAGTTGTCCCTGATCCTTCAGGTGCTACACCAGTAGTTCCTGACATGTGACCCATTGAGACCGTTGTTCCTTTCCCTTCTGCTGGGGTTCTGGTTGTCCCAGTTCCTTTAGATGGTGATTCTGGTGTCCCAGAACCCTGAGCAGATGATCCAGTTGTTGCAAATTCCCCAGGTGCCACACCAGTGGTTCCTGACATTCCACCTGTTGGGCCAGTGGTTCCTGTCCCTCCCTCAGATGGCCTGCTTGTTACAGGTCCTTCAGATGATGATTCAGGTGTTTGAGACCCTTTAGCAGATGTTTCAGTTGTTCCATATCCTGATGTTCCAGTTGTCCCTGATTCTCCAGGTGTTACAACAGTGGATCCTGGCATTTCAGCTGTTTGACCAGCTGTTCCTTTCTCTTCTGCTGGGGTTCTGGTTGTCCCAGTTCCTTCAGATGGTGATTCAGTTGTCCCTGTCCCTTCAGCAGATGACCTGGTTGTCCCAGTTCCTTCAGATGGTGATTCAGTTGTTCCTGAACCTCTGAAGGATGTTCCAGTTGTCCCTGATCCTTCAGGTGCTTCACCAGTAGTTCCTGACATGTGACCCATTGAGACCGTGGTTCCTTTTTCTTCTGCTGGGGTTCTGGTTGTCCCACTTCCTTTAGATGGTGATTCTGTTGTTCTAGAACCTTTAACAGGTGACCCAGTTCTTCCAGATTCTGATGTTCCTATTGTCGCTGATCCTCCAGGTGTTACACCAGTGGATCCTGGCATTTCAGCTGTTGGAGCAGTTGTTCCTTTTTCTTCTGCTGGGGTTCTGGTTGTCCCAGTTCCTTTAGATGGTAATTCTGTTGTCCCAGAACCTTGAGCAGATGATTCAGTTGTTCCAGATGCTGATCTTCCAGTTGTTCCTAATCCCTCAGGTGTTACACCAGTGATTCCTGACATTCCACCAGTTGTCTCCGACTCTACAGCTGATGGTCTTGTTGTCCCTACTCTTTCAGATATTAGTTTAGTTGTTTCTGAACCTGTAGCAGATGTTACAGTTGTTCCTGTTTCTCCAGTTGATACTTCTGTGGTCCCTGATCCTCCAGCTTCTGATCCAGTTGTTTGTAATCCTCCAGTTGGTGTTTTGGCGGATGAATCAGTTGTCCCTAGCATTCCAGTTGCTGCCTCTGTTGTCTTTAATCCTTCAGATGAAGGTCCTGTTGACTGTGAACCTACATCATATGATCTAGTTGTTTCTGTTTTTCTAGTGTTGCCTGATTCTCCAGCTGATGTGATGGTTGTTCCTGTCACTCCAGATGATGGTACTATTGTGGTTCCTGATCCTTCAGCAGACTGTCCAGTTGTTCCTATGAAAACATTTAATAAAAATACATTGTTTTAAAGTTGTTCTGGTCCTTGGTTAACCTTAGAGCTTATGCTGCCTTCTTTCTAAACTATAGTTTTGTGCCTCTTCATTCCTGTTGCCACCATCCTATTTTATTATACCTTTTGTTTTTCTACAGTGTACCTTCTTCCAAAATCTTTACTCATTTAACATTATTGAATATTTTATATGCCATGTATGTTCTCAGAAATTTATAAGTATTACCTCATTTTAGCATCAGAACAATCCTATGATATATATGGTTTTACTTTCCATTTTTATAGAGAAAAAACTTAAAATAGTTTAAATCATTTCTCTAAGATTTACCTAGTTATTAGATAGTTCTCTAATCCCATCGATAATCCTAGTAGATGTGAGAGACATGTAGACATTAAAGTAAAATTACTATCCAACCAAACAAAGAAATTTACAAACAAAGAAAGCCTCAAAGCACTAAAATAAAGAGAGGAAATTCTGAGCAACTGGGATTTCATTTTAGACAGCCTGGCTAGCAGAGTCTCTCTGAAAAGATGCCATTTATTTTGAGATATGACAAGAAGCAGACAGTCATAGGAATTATCATAGGCAGTGGAAACAGCCGCTGCAAAGGCCATAAGGATAACTGAATTACATGTGCCATAGAAGCAGAACTAGATGGTCAATTTATAGGTATCAATAGGAGGTTAGTGGGAAATCATTAGAAGGTGAAGATATATTCATTGGATTGGGTAAGCTATTTGAAATGAGAGAAAAGTTGCACATTTTTCTAAATGCAATAGAGTATAGTTTAATGCAAGGGAGCTATACATTTATATATATTTAAAATCCTTCTTTCCACTCTGTAGAGAATATATGGTAAAGGGTGCATTATAGAAGTAGAAAAACCAGTAAGAGGTGATTTCAGGCTTGGACTTTGTGCTCAGTGGTTTTTTTTTTTTTGTCAACCTATGAACTAGGAAGTCATGGTTCAATTTCCAGTCAGGGCACATGCCTGCGTTGCAGGCTTTATCCCCATTGGTGAGCATGCAGGAGGCAGCTAATAAATGATTATCTCTCACCATTGATGTCTCTCTCTCCCTCTCCTTTCATCATTGAAATGGAAATATATTTTACAAAATAAAATAAAATAATAATAATAATAAATTTTAAAAAGAAGTGATTTCAGGAACCCAAATGATATATGAGTATCTTAGCCCAGAGTAGTAATAAAGGAGATTGAGAAAAGTGAATGGGTTCAGGATATGTTTTTGAAATAGCTTTAAGAGGCTTTGTCTGTATGTAGGAAGTGCAAAATAAAAAGAAGAGAGACATCAAAGATAACTCTAATTTTTTCCTGAGTCAACTGAGTCAGTTATGGTACCATTTATTGATATAGAGAGGATTGGGAGAACAGTTATGGGTATGAAAGTAAACCAAGAATTCTGTTTAGTTAACCAATAAAGAAAATATATATCCATAATAAAAAATAAATAAAATAAATAAAATTAAATTTTTAAAAAAGAATGTATATTTGCATTAGCTTGTATTTGTATTAGAAAACACTGAAAGCATACTAATAAAAAAGGGTTACCAATGAGGAAAGGGGTAGGATGACAGCAAGACTTCTGGATTTACCTTTATAAACTTTTGATTTTTGGACTGTACAAATATATTTCTTATTCAAAAAATTACATTAAAAATAATATTATTAAATTATGATGTTTCTGCATGATAGTCTACTAGATAGTAAATAAATTTGATGCTGCTGGTATTTAAATACATAGATAAAAATGTTCAAAATATATAACAAATAAAAAAAGCAGATTATAAGAATGTAATGTATGATACTTTAATTTGAAGAATTATATTTACATCTTTGGTGTGGAATGTTATTTGTTAAATTTTCTTCAGAAATTGGAATAGCTTTTCATCACAATTCTAAATCACTTTTTTTGTTCAATTAAAAACTTATAGAAAATATGTTAATATTTTATACCATGATATTTTTGTATACTAAGGAACCACAAAAATTTTCTAAATACTCAAGATAGCAGTTTTTGTAAAAAGAAAATTTCTAACTTGAAATTTGAAATCCTTGTTGATAAACTTTTAGTAACCAGCGGCCTATTATTCAAGAAACGAAATAATTTATTGAACTCTTAAATATTTCTAGTATTGAAAAATTATATTGTCAATCAATGAAATGCAAAAATGGCTGACATATCTTATAATTATTTAGCACTTTTAACCATTATGCATTTTTGTTTGTTGCCTCAGTGGGTTTTTTTGTAGAACAATGCAGACCTTAGATAAAGAAATGTAACTAAGTGGATGAGCAAAGTATGTAACTCAAAAGAAGCCTAACTCCAAATCTTCATTTAAGGACCAAACATAAGATGAAATGTTAGATTGTCACTATTACTTTTCACTTAACTCCACTATGGTTGTATCAAAAAATATGCAAGTGATTTCTAAATTGGAATATCAATTTTAAAATGCTGTATTAAGCTTGTTTAGTAATAGAGAATATCTGAACTGTCACATCAATGTCATTATCTGTGACATCATTGGTCACACTAACTGACATCCCAATAGCGCATAAATACTGAATAGCAGACAAGGAATGTAATGGCAATCTTCCCAATTGATTCACATATTTGAATTTCAGAGTTCTGATTTTTAAACAGGAAAGATCCTCTTATAAATAAACAAGTGTCTACACCAATAAGGTTTAGTGAATTTTTGTTGTATTTAGTTATCTCACCTAGCTTATTTGATGAACTTGTAGTCCCACTGCTGGGTGACTCAGATGTACTTTCACCTCCAACAGTTGTGCCACCTGATGTCCCAGGTGTACCTGTTGTAAAGGAAAAAATGGAAAGAGTTCATTCATAGAATTTCATAAACTGTGAGGTAACCAATTCTGGTTTAAATTGACTTCCAAATAACGATTACAGAAATCTCCATTTTCTATATTAATAATAATTATTACTCCATACATTCCAAAAAATGTGCTTTGACATACATTTATTCATTATTTCATGGGATCCTCACTTAACAGATTACATTGCCCACGTTTGCAGACAAGAAAACTGAGGTTACAGTATAATATTGATTCTAAGAGCAATTTTTACCTATGGGCACTATTTTAGCAGGTTGCTTATTTTGAAGTATTTTTTCCTCATCAGAAATGGTTATCAGATGCTTATCAAGTGCCTTTTCAGCCTCTATATCACTAGTTGTTTTTATTCTTAGATATGTTAGTATGATGAACTATATTCATGGATTTCCTGATTTTGGAAAAAAAAATTCACTAAAAAGAAATAGAAATTATTTTAATGTGATTTTGGATTCTAAATTCAAGCATTTGTTTTTTGCTATGCAAACTCTTAAGGTAAATTTTTTCTTTTTGTTTTCTTTCTCTCTTGATAGTTGGGAACAGCTGAAAAGTCAGGTCCAGACTTGTCTGACCTCCCAGGACTTTGGGTCCAGCGCCTGGTTCCCCAGGGGGCTGCCACATCCAGCTCCAGGGGTTGCCCCAGGGGATAGCTGAGCGTGGCTTCATTTTATAATAGAAACAAAAAGTTAGCTCATTAAAATATGAAATGATCATTTTCTGAGTCTGGCTTGTGCGAGGAAAAATAATTTAAAATAAGAGTGAAGCTTAATTCTCTCAGAAATAAGGGACTTTCCCCTTCTTTTTCTTAGAACATTGACTTTAGAAATTTTGTATTTTTAAGTTCTTTCTCTGTGTCTTGGAAATTTATTGAAATCTTTTTTTAAAAAAAAAAAACTTATAGGCCTCTTGCCATCATAATACCCAAGGAGTGTCTTTCTCAAGAACTCTGGCACTGTCTCTTTGAGATGCAAACGTTAGGGAGATGTTTCCCTTGTTTTCCTCTGGTTATAAAACTTCCTCCTGTCAAGATAGGAGGTTTATTTTCCCTTTGTAGGAAACCAATGAACTAACCAGATGGCACCCAATTACCAGATGAGTTTAGGATGAACTATGTGTAATAAATAGTGCTTTCAGGTTTTGTTGCTTGAAGACCAATATAATTTTTCCTGAGAACTTGAAGGTAATGGGTTGTGTCTGCTTGGTGAGAGGTCTGTCTTTATAATTGCTTAGCAAATGGCCTGTAATTTGCATCACTTTCTAATTTAATCCATATTAAATAATAAAAATGTTTGCTTTGTGGCCAGGGTCTCTGGGTTGGGAGAATTTGTTTTCATTTCTAGTTCCCCAATACTAGAAAGATGACTGCTCTTTATTCCCCTGGAATTGAATATATCCCTACACTTTTGCTCAACGTACTTATGTTTTGAGTTTTGCTCAAGTTAAAGCATGTCGATATAGTCACACTGCATTGAGCATAATATCATATTCTTTTCAAAAGAGAGTAAATCCCAATCTAATCCCTTCTCTTGCTAGAATTTCCTCTTGAGTTCCCACTCCAACACTTGTCATTGAACATTTCCTTAACTTTGATTACCTTCTGCCTTGCATGGCCTTTGCCTTTGCATTGATATAAATACTCATTTCTCTTGCTTGAAAATTAAGCTCTAAGAGAACAAATGCCTGACTCTACTCTGTCCCTATGTTCTCTAGAGTATGATGCGACACATCATAAATAGCTATTAATTTATCTCTGATCTTCTTCAGTTTTCACATTACACAAATAATGAGTTAAATTTCCCCAGGAAACCTTATCTCTGACAAAATTTTGAGTAAAGACATCACATTTCTGTTGTCTAGATTTATTCTGACTATGTTCTTTCAGTACCTGATGCTCCAGAAGTCTCTTCACCAGCAGCTCCAGTGGTGGCTGCATTTTCCCCTCCAGTGGTTCCTGTTTAAAAAGAACGGTGGTGATCAGGCCACACGGGGATCGCCAGAGTTAGCAAAGAAAAATACAGGACCCCCAGTTACATTTGAATTCCAGATAAGCAACAAATAACCATGTCCCAATTATTGCATAGAACATACTTATACTAAAAAATTATTTCTTACTTATGAGTAATTTAAAATGTAAATGGCATTCTGTGTTTTTTATTTGGCAATTCTAGTCTACATAGATGGTTGTGTTGAAAATGCTCCCACTACCTATATTTATTTGTCCTAAAATGATAGCCATAGCCTTTACTAAACGCACTTACAGTCCTTATAAGAATGTGGGGTCTCAGCTAAACTCATGATGGAGCACCACCAAAGTGAGACTGCACCTTGCCTGCTGAGATCCCTGTTGGGCTGGAAGCAGTGGTCTAGCTGTGCTGCTACTGCCAGTTCCAACAGTAATTCCCAGACTCTGCTGTTACCCCTGACAAACACAGTATGGGGAGAGCATGTGCCTTATTGTGACAACCCAATACTGTGCCACTTTTGAAGGGAAGATTGGAGAAGCCAGAAAAATGAAAAATCTTGAAAATATTCATCATTTTGCCCTAGCTGGTTTAGCTCAGTGGATAGAGTGTTGGCTTGCGGACTGAAAGGTCCTGGGTTCGATTCCAGTCAAGCGCACATGCCCCGGTTGCGGGCTCGATCCCCAGTGGAAGGCATGCAGGAGCCAGCCGATCCATGATCCTCTCTCATCATCAATGTTTCTATCTCTCCCTCTCCCTTCCTCTTTGAAATCAATAAAAATATATGTTTTTAAAAAGAAAATGTTAATCATTTTTATACCCTTTTATTTTTTATTTTTTTGGATGGTAGATGATGAATTTGAGTGAAATCAGCCAGCTCTGATTTAATTTGGTCCTTTTTGACAAAGCCACGGCCTCTGAATGACACCCGCTGCTCACCTGACTTGCCTTCCTCAGAGGGTGTCCCTTCACTGCTTGGAGCTCTAGTCGTTTCCCCAGCTGATGACTCAGTAGTCCCTTTCAAAATAAACAATACATATATACCATTGAGCTATGGTTAAGCAGAACAGATTTTGCTGTTCTCTTCTTTCAAATACTTTGCATATATTTGTTCACACTTAAAGCATTTCAAGTTCACTGTTTCTAAAAATTAATTATAAGAGTCACCTGGGTTGCTTACTACACATACAGAAATACTAGCCTCACTGTTTCTAAAAATTAATTATAAGAATCACCTGGGTTGCTTACTACACATACAGATATACTAGCCTAGTGGTTCTCAACCCATTGAAACCAACTTTAAGGCTTTTAAACAACATTTGTGCCTGGGCTCTTCCTCCAGGAGTTCTGATTCAACTAGTCGTTAAAAGGCCCTTCATTGTGCATTTTCCAAAAAATGTCTCTAGTCAATTCCAATGTGTAGCCAAGATTGCAAACCATGACCTGAGCCCCACCCAGACTCAGAGCCTCAGACGTTCAAAGGCAGGAGTCTGCAATACAATACTCTTTGCTCTAAGTCACCTGTGAGCTGATGTTAGTGAAATACAGCCATTCAGCCCATAGATGCAGGGATGGTGACCTGATGAACGTGCACATTGACTAACAGCTAATAACCCAGTAGAAGCCGCTGGTGGCTTCCCTGTGGTCAGTAAGAAAATGCTTCCGAGCCCCCACTTCCATACCCGCTCTGCCTCCCGAGGTTGTGCCTGGGGCAGTTGTGTCTCCTCTGCCGCTGCTCTGGCTCCCAGGTGCAGTGGTGAAGTCCTCTGGTCCTTCTGAGGTCCCTGGCATAACAGCAAGGAAGGGGCGTTACTTCTAGAGCGGTAGGATTCTACATGTCACTCTCATGTGACGGAATCGAGGATTCCAATGTAAAAGAAATCTTCAATGACACCTAGAGTTTCTGCAGCTAGAGGATCTAATGTCACACACAGCTTCATCTTTAGTTCGACTGGAATATGTTCAGGACCATCTCACAGGCGTTAAAGTGCGCATCCTGACTTGCCTGCTTTTCCTGTGCTTGTTGCTCCTGTGCTTGATGCCTCGGGTGTGCTCTTCTCGGTTCCCACTGGTAGTGCAGTAGGGGCCCCTTTTCCAGCTGGGGGCGGGGGAGGGAAAATAGCAGTTTAAAAAAATACCCCAGACATAAATCCACTCATCCAGTCGTATAAGCATCCTCTGAGGCAGGTAATATTATTCTCATTTAACAGACGTGGGTAAGTGACTTTCTCCAGGTCACTAGGTTGGTTGGCAGCAGGTCCAGAAGCCAAACCCAGGTAGTCTAGCCCCAGAGTTTACACTCTAACTTTTGCTTCTCAAACGATCTGTGGTCAAAGAGCAATGCTGCAAAGATGTCAGTCTGCCCGATATTGGTGTTTGGGGAAATGCCATGAAGGTAGAGAAATATTTTTTAATAAAATCATTTAAAACATAAGCTTTTATTTAGGAGGTATTAAAGGGACTGTGTGAAACTGCTGTTTCTATTTTTTAAAATATGTTTTTATTGATTTCAGAGAGGACGGGAAGGGTGAGGGAGATAGAAACATCAACGATGAGAATCATTGATCGGCTGCCTCCTGCACGCCCCCTACTGGGTCACTAGCCAGCAACTCCACATGTGCCCTGATCAGGAATTGAATTGAACCATGACCTCCTGGTTCATGGATCAACGCTCAACCACTGATAAGACTGCTGTTTCTAAATGCCTGTTCTCTGTTTCAGTTCTTACCACATCATGACCAGTAATCAACAGTTCTGATGGCACTCATTTGTGGACCAAACTTTCAGCAACCCTGTTTAAAACTACTACCTGATAACCAAAAAAAGATTCACTGATTGACTTGTCACTATTAGCCAAATAATTCTGATTCAAATTTTAAGGATTGTAGACTAAACAGTCATCACCCTAAAGTTTGAGTCAGTTCATTGATCTAATTGAAAATAACCAGTTTCTTAATTTCTGCTGCTGGAGATTCTATCTTTTAACACAGTATTTTTATGTAAACTATAGCTTATTCCAAAAAAGTATGTGAGATAAATTTCAAGTCAAGAAATTTGCTAAAGGAAAATAAATGTAGATAAACAAAAGCAGGCCATAGATTAGTTCTTAAAATCAGACCGTGAATTAGATCATAAAGGCATAAAAGGAAGTCCCATGCATACTCTAAAGGCATGGCTTTTAGTGATATGTAAAGGAGTTTTTATTTATCCCAGAGCAACCAGAACAATGGAAGGATTTTACATAGTGGAGTGACGGGATCACAGTTGCGTTTTAGGAAGTCCATTCTAGCCAGTGGTACTGACTAAAGCATAAATTGGCAGGGAAAGGGAGAAAGATGTTCTCAACGTTGATAAGCACTGATTGCCGAAAGGGCTTGTTAATTAATACACTGTGCTGGGTTTCACTCTAAGAGATTCTGATTTTAGGGAGGTGGCCCCCCAAATTTTCATTTCTAAAAGGAGATGTTGATGCTGCTGGTCTGGGAACCACATTTTGAACCCCACTGTGTTAAGATTAGGTGAGGTAGGTGGACAACTGCAGAGACCAGATGGACAATATCTAACACCTGAGCAGAGGCAAATATGATGCAGAGGAGAAAATGTAAGAGGGACTTGGGACTTATATTAACTGATGAATATTATCTATGTTTAAAGAGTATCAATAATGTCTTATTTATTCATGAAACTAGTAATAGTTGGAATTTAGTCAGTGATGCACAAGGGCAAGCATGTCCTCATTAGGCTTTTTTTTTTTTTTTTGATGCTCTATGCCAGTGATGGCAAACCTATGACACGCGTGTCAGAGGTGACACGTGAACTCATTTTTTTGGTTGATTTTTCTTTGTTAAATGGCATTTAAATATATAAAATATCAAAAATATAAGTCTTTGTTTTACTATGGTTGCACATATAAAAAAATTTCTACATGTGACACGGCACCAGAGTTAAGTTAGGGTTTTTCAAAATGCTGACACGCAGAGCTCAAAAGGTTCACCATCACTGCTCTATGCACTGATCAGGGAACGGTAGTTATTGCAGAGAAGGCTAAGGGTTCTGGGTTCTATTCCTGCTCCTGTCAGCTTTGAGACCTTTTATTATTTTCTTCCTAATGGCAATAAAGAGATTTAACTACCATGGTGTTAACGTGGATTAAATTCTGTTACATATTTGAGCATAATTTAGAAATTTTAGTGTACTTTAGAAATCTAACACTAATATTTGATTTAATATAGAAAGACTAATTATTGAATATTTTCCCAAAGTCCTCCAGGTGCCTCAGTGCTGTCGCTGGACCCCCATTTCCTAATGCTGTTCTCAGGGTACAATTGTCCCTGACTGGAAACAGAGGACTGCTTGTGAAAAGGAGCTATGGAAGAAATAGCATTTGACTCATTTCTTGATCTCACCTTCTCTGAAGCCTGTGTCAGCTGAACTTGTTTTTTCAGCTCCTGTGGTTGTACTTGCTGATGATCCAGTGGTCCCTGAGGAAGATAAAAAACAAACACGTGCTAGAAAAAGTACATGGGCGCTGTCAACACTCCAGGTAACGGGTATGTATAATTGTCACAATGTGATATACTTTAAGGAATCAACCTGTGAAAAAAACCAAAGACTCTACACTTTAATTACATATAAAGAACACCTACGTCGTCCTGGGGGTGAGAGTGGCTGGGCAGGGGTCACTTTAATTACATATAAAGAACACCTACGTCGTCCTGGGGGTGAGAGTGGCTGGGCAGGGGTCGATGGGAGAAAAAGGAGACATATGTAATATTTAAACAATAAATAATTATTTAAAAAAATAAAAAATTTAAAAAAAGAACACCTACGTCTGATAATATATCTAAGCCAGCTATCTTTATGTTGTAAAATATTGTACTGAGCAGCACTGCCTAAAACCCATTGCTTAGACGTGGCTGTGTACTCTGTTCTGGACTTACTGTACCTGATACGTGCCAAGGACTGGTGAAGAGGGGACCCACTGCTCCAGGGGTGCTTGCACTTCCAGCTGTGAAGGTGACGGGAAACGGAGTACTCATAAGGCCTGAGAAAAACAGGAAATGAACTCAGCTCAAGTGTACTCGGGCTTTGTTGCCAATGGGCGACTTAACTGTTCAATCAATTCCTAGCATAGAAAATAGAATCAAGAACCCAGTGACTTTCTACCCAGAGTTCCCTAAGATATTTTTCTAATCTTATTTTTGAAGCTAGAGTGTTATTACCCTCAAAAATATCTTTAACACAAAATAGGTTTGTAAGCTGGGTTCACAGCCACAGGAAGGAAGCCCCATAGCACCCTGTTAACGATTATAGAAATTGCTCAGCCCAAGACCTGCTCGGTGGCATACAATCAATGGGTCTCATGATGTATAGCAGTGGTTCCCAAACTTATTTGGCCTACTGCCCCCTTTCCAGAAAAAATATTACTCAGCGCCCCCTGGAAATTAATTTTTTTTAAATTTTAATAGCAATTAAACAGAAAGATATATATGTATTAATGTTTCTACCTTTTTCGTAAAATATAGTAAAGAAAGGTGTAAATTAGAAACATTGAAGTTTGAAATTATGAAACTATTTATTGAACTCAAAATAGAAAGGTAATACAAAAAAAGTTAAAACAAATGCACCTGTGGCCATCACCACCCCCCTGGATCGCTGCAGCGCCCACCAGGGGGCGGTAGCGCCCACTTTGGAAATCACTGATGTATAGCTTTCACCCCTGCACACCAAGGTAACTTATTGACACGCGTTTTTAAGATGGTTTTCAGCCCACAAAGTGAATGACCACCCCGCCCACCACAACTCTCTGAAACCAGACTAGAGGACGCAAGGAGGGCAGTAGACAAGTGGAAGATGAAAATGAACTGCTTACGTAATCAAGGACCCACCGGCAAGCCCCACAGCCCTAAGCCCCTTACTCATGATTACCCATAATTTTTGTTCTATTCAAACCTCTTGACTGTCAGTCACCGGCAAGTTGGGATTTTGAGCACCAGCTCCCCCTCCTCCTGGGTGGTGCCATCCCAATAAAATTACTTCTATTTCATCGCTGAAAAACCTGGTGTCAGTTCTCATTGACTTGCTGTGCACAGGTGGGCACGAACTCTCAGCTAGTTTGATGACACTTTCCTCTAAGATTTTGGTTTAGTCCTTGCTATTTTTTTCTTAAAAAACAAAGTCATGTTCTCTGCATCTGTAATAGGGTCACACTAAGTTTGCATACTTTTGTCTTAACAAGGTTGCTCTCAAAGAAATGGAACCTAATTATACTGTCATTCAGGGGTGTAATAACAATGATGAAGTAATATCACCAAGTAGCTAATTGCTACTTTTACACTTAAAACACCTAAAAGAACACAATATATTTTTAGATATATGTTTTCTCTTATCTTATATTCTTTTTAAAAAATTTTAAGCTTGATATTATTTAGTACTGTTGTAGATATTCTATTAATAGTTAATAATAAGGAAGAACATAAAACTATCATATTATAGCCAATCAATATAAACTGGCCAAACACAAGTTATTAAATTCATTTTTAAAAAGTTCAAAACCAGTGGGAAAAGTCCAGTGTAAACTATTTGTTGGTAATATTTTTTTCAAAAGTCAAATTCTCATATAAATTTTTTTCTTAGAAATCCAAAGTTACTAGTAATTTATACTGTTAGCTATTTCTAACAGATAAAAGTCAGGAATTAATATACTGACCTGTAGTAAAAGCTTCAACGGGTAGACTTAGAGTTGTTCCTGATAAGAAAAAGAGATATGGTGTGAATTTTTCTGACCTCAAGGGAAAATACAGAAAGATTGGTCCCTTGTTAGTTTTTAATAGATAGTAGTTTGCAATGTATTTAGTGTTGAAAGTAATGAGATTTTATTTTATTTTTAAATAGTGACATTATAACATACATTCCAATTTATGTGGAATAAATATGCAGGAGTGAGCAACCATAGGTTTATAGTTGTATGTAAAAGAGTTCATTCTTGTATTATTATTTATTTCCTTTGCCCACTCCTGTATATTCACGATGACAAGTTAATTCTCTATTAAGCAGAGGCTGATTTTACAGTTTGTTTCTTTCAATTCCCTCTCTCTCGAGTTATCTGTGCCTCCAATAATTTTCTACAAAATAACATTTAGTCTGCCAGGGTTTGGGGTAAGAGGAAGGAGAAATACTTTTGAGGAATTTTTTAATGATTTGATAAAGCAGGTTTGTGGAGATACATTTGAAATGACCAATATGCTCCTGAAGAAAAAGACCATGTTTTTATCTTTGCATTTCCAATACCTGTCCTATTGGCAAGAAGGTGGTAGGAGTTTATAAAACTTTTGTTGAGAGGGGTCTGTGGAGTTAAAAATAAGCCTTTATTAATTTCTGGCTTTCATCATCAATTAAAAGTCAGCTATTTTCTGTATTGCAGTCTTAATTTCTATTGAAAATCTCTGGAAAGCTATTGTTTATGTGGTTAAATCCCTTTTTATAGTGTTTTGTAACTTAAAAAAAGAAGAAAAAAATAAATTTCTCACACAATCTCTCTATTTAATCCTCACTCTGTCCAGCCACACTGGCCTTCCTTCAGTCTTTCATATCTGCTATTTGTACTTCTCTATACTTGGAACACAGTTTCTCTCCTTTTTGTCAATTTACTATTTATTGGTCAGTTCTCAAATCGGCCATCTTTATGTTAGCCTTTTCTGACCATCTTGACTTAATCAAACCCCCGCTCTACCCTCTTCACCCACATTCTAAGCACTTCACAGCTCTCGGTGCAAGTTTTCATTTGTTTTTGTAATTACTTGATTGATACCCCAACCAGACTATAGGTTTTAAGAACGCAGGAAGCATGTCTATTTTAACTCACCTTTATATCTCTAAAAACATTAGAGTACCTAGCACATAATAGATGTTTGGTAAGTATTTGTCAACAGAATGAATGAATAAACCCATGAATGAATGAATGAATGAATGAATGGATGAATGAATGAATGAACGAACGAACGAATGGAATAAAAGTATTGTAACTATTCTACATATGAAGAATTGGACTCAGAAAACTAAAGTAATTTATTCAAGACCATTGCTAGTCAGTGACAAAAATGAGACGAAAATCTAAGTCACCTGGGACCTAGGACTGTGACACAAGTCCACTTTGAAATTGGAATCTGTAATTATATGCTACTTTAATAATGGATTTAAATTAAATTAAACTTTATTCTCTTTCTTAAACATCAAAACACAGAAGCATTACGAGTGGAATCTAGAAAAAGATGTCCTGACTTTTAATCCTCTCTCTGCTACTTATTAGCAAGGAACTCGATATATAATTTAACCTTGCTGTGCTTCCATTTCCTCATTTGTAAATTGGGGGAAATGATGGGCCCCACTTCATAGAGTTTTCTGTATCAAGTATGATAATATGTGTCACACACTTAGAACAGTGCTCAGTAAAGGTTAGCTCTGTGTCAAGATCTGTCAATTTAAACAGGGGAAAAAATAGAACTGCACATATTTCTTCTAAAAATAACATACTTAATTGAAACGGTTGGGTAGGCATCTCTCATGGTATTTTAACCCTTTGAAGCATTTACTATATGAAAAAGAAAATGGATATATAAGACATGGAAAAAAGTTTAAGCTTTGTATATTACTTCTCTTATGCTTTTAGAGATTTCTATGAAATCATACCTCAACTTCTATCCAAGATGCTCGAGTATAAAGTCAAATGAACCATCAATCCTCTCTTGAGGACCTAGTCATTTCTCCTTCTATTTGACAGTAATGCCTTTGATCATCTGAGCAAGATAATTTTTTATTTGTTTGTTTATTTGATTGGGAAGACAGGGTTTATTTAGAATCACTATTTCAGGGTTTCATTAGTATCTTTCTTAAAAATTTTAAGTATAGTTGATATACAATATATTAGTTATATTAATATCAGGTGAAAATATAGTGATTCAGCATTTTTATATCTTACAATGTGATCACTTCACTAATTATAGTGATCATTTGTCACTGTGCAAACTTATCACAATATTACTGACCATATTGTCCTTCACCGTTTTCACCCATCCACTCATCCTCTTCCCTCTTGTAGCCATCCCTTTGGTCTCTGTTTCTGAATTTATTTTTGTTTTGTTTGTTCGTTTGTTTTGTTTTAGATTCCACATATAAGTGAAACCATAGGATACTTGTCTTTGTCTGAGTTCACTTAGCATAATACTGTCCAGGTCCATCCATGTTGTCACAAATGGCAAGACTTCATTCTTTTTTAATATTCCATTATATATGTAGAGCACATCTTCTTTAACCATTCATCTATCAATGAACACCTAGATTGCTTCCATATCTTACCTATTGTGAACAGTGGTGCATGAACATAGAGGTGCATATATCTTTTTGAATTAATGTTTTTGTTTTCTTTAGCAAATCTAGTAGTAGGATTGATGGGTCATACAGAACTATTTTTAGTCTTCTGAAGAATCTCTACCCTGTTAAATTTATGGAAAGAAACTTTAAAATATTTTATTTCATCTTTTCAAGTTTTGGTAAAAAAATAAAATAAAGCCTAATTGCCAGTGAGAAGTACTTAATTCAGTGAAGTATTTGATCCAGTATTTGATCAAAAGTACTTTACCCAGGGAACAAGATAATAGCAAAGAGCTGCATTCCCTCCAGATCTCAAACAACCCTGATATCTCACTGCATTTTACCAGAAAAAAATTCTTTTTCTTCTGATCTCTGTTATCCTGAAAAAATATTGAATGCTAACTATTCTAGAGATTGGGATTGGGTGCAATTGGGAACACAGAAATGGCAAACCATGGTCTCTGCCATCAAGGATGTCCACTGGACTTACAGTGGCAATCATTTATCAATATATACAAATATTGAATCATTATGTTATATACCTGAAACTAATATAATGTTATATGTCAATAATATCTCCATAAAAATACCATGGGTTTAAGTATATGCATATATAGATTAAAGGAAAGAAAGAAATAATAGGAGAAAGAGAAATAGTGTGAAGTTGGAGGAAGAAAAGTTCCTAAGTATTGGAGACTGGGTATGTTAATTCTAATAAGTAAATTGAGATAAAACAATTTTAATACATGTAAAAAACTTTGTCATTTTATAGGCTTTCTATTTCACCTACCTGTTGTCTCACTGCTTGATGTTGTAATCCCTGGAGTGAATGTTGCTGATTTAAAGAAAAAAAATTGAAAAAAATTAATTTTGTATAGAGGGAAAATTATGTTTCTGAGAACATCTATTATCATATATAAAATGGGTCAAAATGAATGTTTCAAATAAATTTGATCATATAAGTGGATGGATGTTAAAATGTGAAATTAAATTTTTAAAATCTATAGTACACATGTAAAAGGTCTAAAAACTTATTTTGTATAATATTTTTCTGGACTCCTCCCTAAGATATTTTTAAAAAATATATAAATATACAAAAATTTCACCTAATTACTATAGCAAAAGGAAGTTTTGAATTTTTTAATGCCCTCTTGATTAAGTTGTGGTTCAATAGTATGGCTTACCTGTGCCTGAGCTACTGGTTGCCAATGGAATTGCTATACAAAGGAGGAAACAAATATTTGGAAATGTGTGTTAAAAGGGTGTTGAAGAGATGTTGTATTGCTAGAGTGCAAATAAATAATTAAATGTAATAGTTCAACTTATTTATCAGATCTTCACACATTTTAATATACTTTTGTACTGTACTAGCTACTGTTTTAATTAAAGTTATTTGATGCTAGTAAAAAAGAAATTGTAAATTATTTTCAAAGAATTTAACAGAATTTTCTTTAGTTGCCACTTTTTTCAAATTAGTAGCATGTGGAATATTCTTTTTAGGACACGTAAGCTCCAAATAGAGATGTTTCTTTACTCATATTACAATTTAGATGTAGATCCTACTATTTGGCATTTACAAAATAAATACATGCATACATACATACATACATACATATTTGAAAATAGGGCCAAAATGCCTAAATGGTGGCTGCTAATTTAGAAGTTAAAAAACAAATAAGCATTTATTTTTTACCTGTTGTGGTGGTTAATATGGAGGTAGCTGTTGTAGTAGAAACTGTTTAGGGAAGATAATATTTATGAAAATTATTACTTGAATAATTTTTGCTGGGAAATTTAGTTAAAGAAACAAGTTGCCTTAAAATAATAATAAATTTCTGAAATTATGTGTAAAGGTTAAGTGAAAAAACAATCTTTCATTTAAATCAAAAGAGCACTATATATTTATTGCATGTCTACCAAAATAACTAATTATTTTCGGTTAGTACCACTTAACCAAAATCTCATAGGAACCTTATAAGGTCTGTATATGGACCAAAACTAAAGTTCAGAACCTTAATATATAATAACCTTAGTGTTAAGTACGTAACCAATAATAACTAAAATGTAAATAGCATTTTACCGACGATCACATAACTTTAAATATATTATCAAAACCTAAAGTTTCTAATTTACTGTGCTACCTCCAAATATCAATCAACAGGAAATAAAAGCCCTCCTTGAATCACACAAGGACTAGGGAAGTATACTGCAGCAACTAAAATACTTAAATTAAAAGTCCGTAAGCTATAGTGAAATTGCATTTTGCCCACCACTCCCTTGAATGGACATAACTGAAATGCTTTTATAGCTTACAGCAAATATATAAGTTAAGAAAAAGAAAACTTTTTATTTCTATGTTTTCAAATGATCTCCCAGTGTCATCGTGATTTTAAAATATTTACTTCATGGAAGACCACATTTACTCCTTTTTCATTTCATTTATTTCAATTATTATCTTAAAATGTCAAGCTTTAGATTATGTGTTTAGCTAATAAGCAAACAATGCCTATTGTATGTCCTAATCATATTCCTAACTTAATTCACAGGAGTATAATGAAATCATATTTTGACATATTTTCTAGTAACTTAATTTTAATTTGAAATTTTTATATCAGCAGATTTATCAGCCTATCTTTTACCTGCACAGATTCATGTAAAACTATAAAAAGTTATCCACAAAACAAATCAGAAATACATATTTAAAATAATGATGATTTTACCTGTAACTGTTGAATTGTCAGAACCAATTCCTGTAATAATCATAGGTTACTATTATTAATGCAAAATCATGAAGAAATTTAAATCTCAAGCTGCCTATGGGTTATGTCTTTTGTATCTTACTCTACATTTTCTAGAACACAAAAGAGTAGTTCGTGTGTTCTTTAGAAGCTCATTGGATTTATTTTTAAGATGTGTCACTCATGAGCGATTCTTCCATTGTTTAATTCTATCTGTATAAACCCTCACTTGCCACTCTACCATTTATTCAACTATTTTGGCTGGTGTCTCACTCCCTTAATCCCCAGAACCTACAAACAGGCAGGGGCACACATGCACAGAACTGCCCACAAGCCGGTGTTCACAGTGACTGGGCAGCATTGGATTTGAACTGACCTGACATCAACAAATACACTGCAATGGAATGAATGGCCTCGATTCACTGAGGGGCAGGGGGAAGCATTAAGTACCTATTCTGTTGTTGATGAACTGAAAAGATCCCAGACCCTTTATCTAGTCTTTCCTAAATCAATTACAGTAAAATGCAAGGACTCACCACTGCACGCCAACTCTCCTGCGATGCAATAGCTGAAAGTTAATGTTTAAAAAATAAGAATGAGATCGAAATTTTAACTCCTAGTGACATGCATCTCCAAAATGTAAAACAACAAATTGTCTAACAGTGAAAATCAAAACAGGAGCTAATAAGAGAACAGTCAATCATTGTTTCCCCAAGAGCGTGCTATTGATTCAAATTGCTTGTTTTTTTTTGTGTTGTTTTTTTTCCGAATACTGTTATTTCTAATCATTTCCCTAAGGAGTTCTTGGGACCTAAAAGAATGCTTTACACTCAAGCTGCAGTTAGTTCTCCCACTTTCAGTTTCAAACACGATGTGGTTGCTCTAGCATGGATGCCACCTCTTTGCTTCCATGTCCCTGACTGAAAGGCTAGCGACATGATCTTACATTTATAGAATCAAAACTTTTTTTTTTACCTAAAACTACATAGTATCATTTTTGTCTTATCTTCTGCATTATTCAGTATAAGATTTAACCATTTGCTGATATGTGGGTTCACTGAAAATACAACATAACTAACTTCACTGATGTAAAACTAAAGCTGGCCTTTTTATTTAGAAATGAGTTAAAAATTACATGCATATATTTTTTTCTTGGTTTCTTTTCTAAATTAAAAGGCAAGAAACAGAATTGCTTATTAGAAAATTAGGAGAGAATGTACCATGTTCTCCCACAGTTGTCTTGGATCACTCCACCTGCTGGTATGACATCATTGTAGAAGCAGCTGCACTCGGATAACCTGACGCATTTCATGGTGTTCTCATCCAGGTAAGGAGCACTCTCTGGGCACTTAGCATAACAACCTGTGTGTGAAAATGACCCACGGTTGGTCTCTATGTACCGAAACTGATCACAATGCATTATAGAGTTGTAAAGTTACTTAAATGATTTCTTGAACTAAAGTAGATAATAGCAAAATGACAACACATTCTTAAGAATGACAATGGGCAATGGGATTGTAGCACTGGATCTTCTCTCTCTCTTACTCTCATTAAACAGATAATTTACATCCTGAGACAATGTTTTCAATGTGGAAATATTAATGTCATAATAAAGATAACTAATCATTAAATTACAATATGTAGGACACTAAATTGTCAGGAGCTAACAACAATTTCAAGTTTTTTTGGTTTTTTTAAATATATTTTTATTAATTTCAGAGAGGAAGGGGGAGGGAGGGAGAGAGAGCTAGAAATATTAACAATTAGAGAGAATCATTGATCGACTGCCTCCTGCATGCCCCCTATTGGTGATTGAGCCTGCAACCCAGGAATGCCCTGACCAGGAATCGAACCATGACCTCCTGGTTCCTAGGTCAACACTCAACCACTGAGCCACACAGGCCGTGCATTCAATTTTAAAATCCTATATAATAAAAGCGTAATATGCAAATAGACCAAATGGTGAATGTCTGGTAGCTATGACGTGCACTGACAACCAAGGGGCAGATGCTCAACGCAGGAGCTGCCCCCTGGTGGTCTGTGTGCTCCCACAGGGGAGACATCGCTCAGCCAGAAGCCAGGCTCACAGCTGGGGAGCGCAACAGTGGTGGCGGGAACCTCTCCTGCCTGCCCCCGCTACAGGCGGGCAGTAAGGAGCGAGGGGTCCCAGACTGCGAGAGCCCAAGATTGTGAGAGGGATGTCTGACTGCCGGCTTAGACCCAATTCCTAAGAGGATTGGGCCTAAGCCAGCAGGTGGACATCCCCCAAGGGGTCTCAGACTGCGAGAGGATGCAGGCTGGGCTAAGGGACCCTGCCCCCCCCCCCCCGCCAGTGCACGAATCTTGTGCACTGGGCCTCTAGTATCAATAAAATTTGCATTACTTCATGGATATTATTAAAATTCACCTTACCTTCTAAAAGTGCAGAAAATTTCTGGCCAATAACTCGATCTTTGCATGTTTTTGCAGTCACCGTCCCGCAAGGTTCATAATGCCAGCTGCATTCTCCAGGGGCATTATAATAATCACAGTAGACAGCTGTAACCGAATTATAGCCAATTACTTCCTCTTGTTAGGTAACAACTTTCACTTTCATTTCCCCAAGTATTTTTAAAAAGGAATTTGAATGATATTACAGTAAGCAGATCTAAAGTATGCCATTCTGTCTTATCAATTTCCTTTGTATTTATCCAAATTGTTATATGAGCCCAAATAGCTCACCAAAAAAAAGCATATAGAATCAAAATAACACTTTTCTTTGACAAATAGCATTCATGTTGGTTTGAGGTGGAAAAGCAATATTAATTTTCCCATTTTTAGATAATTTAGGTCATCGTCTAGATTTGCAGTTTTAATGTTCAAATTTAAATTAGAAAAATAAATCTCTGCAAAAATTAAGCTTTTTAAAATATGTAAATAGCAGTTCCCAAATGAGGTAACTCAAGACTTCAATATAACATAAGCTGAGCATCATAAACTGAATAAAACGATGATTCAATTTTAACATTGCTCATTTGTCATATTTTCTCATAATACCTCCCTTTAAAAGGAAGTGTTGACTGATTCCTATTAAAGTTACCACTTTCCATATATGTCACGATTCATTTTACATTTATCTTACAGTTTATCTTGACTAGGGCTCTATAAAAGTTTTTATGATAACGAGTGAGGACTTTAACCAATAGTGATATATGATGTAAGTTCTTAAGGATTTGTGACTGTAACAGGTTATGTAAACAGTTTTTGTTTATCTAAGTTTTAATGAGATCTTTTCCATCAGTATTCAATTTCCCCCCTGTAAAACCAAGAACTTCTGCAAGTAAAATTGAATTTAATGTGGTATGCTAGGTGCTTTGCTTGTTTAAAATAGGTATTTTTTTCCCATCGTGACTTATTAATATGTTTTTAAACCTAAGTACAAGATTTTATATAGATAGATATAAATAATATAGAGAGTTTATATATAATCTGTAGTATATAGAGAGAAAATGTGAGAATGATTACTTAACAAAACAATTCTGCCTAATTACGTGGTTAAAGAACAATTTATGGGCTCCACTTACGACAGAGGTCGGGCTTTCTCCACGCCACACAGACCCCAACCGCGCTGCACGCCTCCGCATACATGGCCACAGCCGTGCAGAATCCCAGGTACTTGCCCTCCATGTCGCAGGCGCAGGCTTCCTCGATGCACGCATCGTAGTAAGTGCTGGGGTCCACCTGCGGCGGAGGACAGAGCGTGAGTGTCTGGGAGCGGGAGAGGGCGGGCGCGGGCAGGCCCTCGCCCTCAGAGCCCGGCTACCTTGCTGTGGCACTCTCTGAAGGTGCTGTCCCGGATGATCTCGCATTTCCGCACAGCCCAGGCTTTGCAGTAGGGGTTGGAGTCACATGGGAAAGTCTGAGTTACGGTGTCTGAACATTCTTGAGACGTCTTCCAGCTATTTCCAAACTCCAGTGCTCCGGTAGCTACTGAGGAGTACCGCGTTGTGCATTTAATTCAAGAAATCCTCTATTGTAAAGTGATCTAGTATCAAATAAGATAAATGCCTTAAGAATGAAAACATTATTATATTCACTAGCTTCTAAATTTTCGTGAGAATCCCCTTATGTTCTTAGAATATTTGCTCTCGGGAATACATCTAATTCTATATATACACCAACTACTTCAAAATTGAATTTATGCAATAATCTCAAATAACCATATGTGGTTAAACTAGAGGGCCTCAGGTGTATTGTATTTATTTTTCACCAGATTCAATCATCTTTGATTATAGTTCGTATTGCATGCAGATTGCATATATGTGGAGGGCTTGTTCTATAACAGAGACTACCCTCCTCCCACTTTCTATCTACAAAGATGTGTATCATTCTCAGTATCAGAAATGATTTTGCTTCCCAATTAATTACTTATTAGTGATGTACATACATTCCAGTATGGCTCCAATATAACAGTCATTCTTGTGTTTTTGTCCCAAATCACAGTTATTCCAGAGACAAATTTCAGAATCAGGTATAGGCCAACGGTATGCACAGTGTACGTATTTCCATTGAGTTCACACTCCTTACTTTCTGCCGTTTTGATGGCTGTTACCTTACCATCTTGCAAGATAACATTCTGATCCTGAAAATAAAAACATATACTTACAATTAAATCCATTTTATTTGGCCAATCGTAATCTGAGGGGAGAAGTAAGTAAAGAGAAATGGCTCTGTACCTGAAAAGCAACTATGATTTTTCTTGAGCACGTGAGCCCGTCTTCACAGCAAGGGACGCTTTCAGTTAAAATGCGGAATGTGCCATTTTCACTGCCACAATAATCCTTTAAAAATTAAATTATAATACGTTTATGAATATCAGGGATGTGGAACTCAGTTTCAACATTTGTATCAGACAAATATCTCACTCAGTGACACCTGAAACTCAGTAAGTTACCATAAGCTGGTCATTTATTATGGGATGTTATGGAATTCCCACAAGACAGTGGTCGCCTTGGCTGAGTGCAAACTAGTCACCTCGCTTTGACTCAGCCCTTTCCCATTTCTTCTATACGGGTCTAGAATTATATCATAGATATGTAAGTATTTAAATTATATAAGTTTGTAATCATAAGTTTATTTCTGGATGCTGTAAACAGCTAAAGGTATGTTTTTTTCTCAGTGATTGATATGAAACTTACTATTCAATCAAAACTAATAAATACCAACAATTACATTTCGCCCATTAGATGTTACTGAGGAAGGAGCTGAGTTGTATGTAACAAACTCTGGAATCAATCAGATCAGGTTTGAATATGGCATTGTCTACTTAGCAATTTACATTGCTTATGCTCTCTGACCTTCATGTCTTCAGCTGAATCATAGGAACACTGTCAGCCTCTTAGTGTCGTAATGATTAAATGAATAAAATACATAAATTTGCTTGGCAGAGAAGCAATCATAAAATGCTGTTGTAACACATAGTGCTGTTCTTAAAAAATAATAATATCTAACATTAAATAAGAAGTTAGTATGTGCTCCAGTATTTTTTTAATTTCTTTTCAAGTAAGGACTATTTCCATCCCCGTGTTATTGAAAAGGGAACAGAGACACAGAAAGGTGAAGGGATGTGCCCAAAGCCACACATGTGAGAAATGGTAGAGCCGGGATTCAAATCCAGGTGGCCTGCCTTCAGAGTCAGCATTCCTTTGTTACAGTTTATTGCCTTTGAGAAACATGTAAGGGGCATTTAAAATATTTTTTTCACGTTTTCAGAATAAAATTATCCAGAGCTGATATACAAAAAATAATAAGAAATATAGAAAAACTGTGGCAAAACACTTGCAGTTACCTCAACAAATGAATACTGACAGAGCCCATCAAAGCTGTAACTTTTTCTGTCAAAAGTTTGAACGTGACCTTCCCCATAGATGTGGCAGGTACTCTGACATTCATTTTGTGTGCAGTTCCAAGATCCTTTCATGCAAGTACTAAGAGAAAGCAATGATAGAGGGCACACCAGTTATATTATTCCAAGATATCTACGTGCATACTGTTTTTGTATAAAAGCACTAAACAGTTTTCGTATGGATTTAAAATTTGTAATTGTCTTCATTACATTTTACGATGTTCATCATATATGATGTTATATAAAGTTCTATTTAAAGATATAGCATTTTTTCTAAATACATTTGACCATTATTTTTGAAATATCCCAGAGTATGACTTTTCCTTTCCCATAAAAATAAGGGCAGACATCACACTTCCTAATAGCCAAAAAATAAAATAGCAATCCTTAGGCACCATTTGTTGCAGCCAACTGAGGTGACACTTCCTTGGCTATACTCTCGTCCACCAAAAGAGCAAGGGCAGTCATCAGGAAAGACACAGTTCCCTTTAGAATCTCGAACCATTCCTACTGGACAGTAGCACCCACGTTTGCAATGCGAGTTCTCCTACAGGAATAAGTACAAAGTATACATCGTAAGGCACTGCTCTCAGCACATCACATTATCAGCATTAATGTACAATACATTAATATACCAGGCATGCATTTAGTGTCAACATTGGACAAGTCAAAATAACAAGCAATAAATAATATGACCTTCTCATTATTTTTTTTATCTGCATTTAGTTCCTTTTGCCCTGAAACAATGAAAAGTTTTAAAGAGCTAAACTCTAATGCCATGTTACTCACCTCAAAATTAGGTATGTTCCGAGTGCTGCATGTACTGTCAACTCTTCTCTGTGCCTTGGGATCACTGCAGTCAACATATTCAGCCCCTCCAGAGCAATTCTCTGCAGGAGAAAGGAAGGGATTAACCAAGGGCCTCTTGATCTGTTTATTTTAACCAAAATAGGTATCTTAAGCCTTCACCATGATGTCAAAACTTACGGTGGGTTAAATCAATGGGAGTCTGGCAAAGAAGACTTCCATCCCGACAGACACTGGAAAGACAAGAAAATGATGCATTTAAACATCGAATTTCAATAACAAAATCTTAATACACTGTTACAATAACTTTAACCCCTCATCCATGCACCACCTGTTTTAGCTCAAGTAGTAGTCTGAATGAGACACAGTCCTCAGAAAATGCAGATGAACCAAAATATAAGATATAGGCTTGAATGTGTGATAGGAATGTACAAACAAAGTTGTATGGACATCAAAGAAGGTTTGATTCTCCCAAGAGTCAGTACTCTGCTTACTCTGTGAGTCCCAGACAACGTTCATTCATCTTTGCATCGGCTGCAGTAAGCACAAGGCCTGGCACACAGTAAATATACATTTGATGTGTTTGTTGAATGGTGAATGCTGAGAGACAACTAGAAAGTCTTGTCTGACTAGGAAATCATTTCTACATTGTTTGCAGGTAGGAGCTGCTAAAATATTCTTCTACTGGTATTTAAAACCAAACAACAGTAAGATAGATTAGTTACAGCCATGATGATGCAATGAACACTCCTGATAAAGGGTGTCAATAACCAAGCTTCCTCAGAAATAGAAAATAAAAGATGTGACAGGTCTAATGAAGACATCATGCTAGCAAAAGACTATTTCTCTGAAAACGACAATCCCTGGATTTCAAAGCGATAACAAATAAATATGTGATCTCCATACCATTTATTGTCATCAATCTCGATGAGTTTGCCTGGTTTTATGACCTCGTCGTTCATGTAGCACTCACACTGGGACTTTGAAACACAATTTCCTTCGTTATCCTTGTACATCCCATCAGGGCAAGTGCACCCATCTACTGGAACATCTTCTACATCACAGCTCCTATCGCTCTCTGACAGGGATCGGCAAGAACTGTTGCAGGCTTTTACATTGTACTTGAAAACTAGGCCACTTGGACAAGAGTGATCTGTAGGGATAGAGTAAACATGTACATATTCAGAAAAATTAGCAACTTTACTTCAACTTGATGTTTATAGATATTATAGTAAATTTAGTAAATTGTTCATAATTGATTTTTTTAATATATTTTTATTGACTACAGAGAGGAAGGGAGAGGGAGAGAGAGCTAGAAACATCAGTGATGAGAGAGAATCATTGATCGGCTTCCTCTTGCATGCTCCCCTCTGGAGATCGAGCCTGCAACCCGGCATGTGTGGGCTCATGACCTCCTGGTTCATAGGTCCACGCTCAACCACTGAGCCACACTGGCTGGGCCATAATTGAGATTATTTTTAAAAATCAAGAAAACGTACTCATTCATTATTTATTCCCCCCCCCCCCCCGTTAATATTGAGTCCCTACTATATGTTTATATATTTTGCTGCTGGGGGAAGTACACTTTCCTTACGTGCTGTGTGCAGCAGGGAACCCGCTCTTGGTGAAGAGAAGGAACTGCGTGAAAGCAGCCCAGAGAAAGGTAATTCTATGTGTGGGCAACAGTCTAAGTTAGAAGAGGAGGAGATTCTTGTAAAGAGCACGTGAAAGAATAAAAGCTCTGCGCCCAGACCCCGAGTCGGCAGGTAGAGCCCGCAGGCCCTCTTAGGCAGTGTGGTGTTTCAGAGCCATGACCAGCCCCTGCCCTGTGTTAGACTGAGTGCCACACAACCGGGTTGGCTTTATTGGTTTTCTTTAAAGATGACACTGACTTCTCTGTAGAAAATGGATTAGAGGAACCAAGAGGGAAAGTGAAGGAAGCTATTGCCGTCACCCAGGAGGGAAAATCATGGGTTCTCAACTAGGTTGATGGCAATAAAGATGAAGCGATATGGATGGATTTTAGAGAAATTTTGGAAGTGAACTTGACAGAACTTACTGATTGACTGGATATGGACTATGAGGTTTTAAGTGTGATCTATAAGAGATGCCTTTGTACAAAACATTATTTTTGTAAATTGAGTACTTTCTAAAGTTGCATTCACATAGTGCAGTAAGTATTTTAAAACAAAGCAAGGTTTTATAAATGATAGTTGAGACTTTACTTTACTGATTTAATTTTATTTGGTTTCTAATAAATAAGTTTTTTAACATTTGACTCTGACTTAGAAATGCAGTAGGAGTCAGAACGTTATTTAAATTTTGGCAGATAATAATTGAACAGAAACTTATATTTATACATAAATACATACATATTCTGTTCTGTTTAAATATGAACATATTAAATCAAGATAAAAGAAATAAATAATGAAGTAAAAATGCAAGGATTGCTCAAAGATAAAATATTTCATATATATACATATGTATACATATAGACACAAAGATATACATGTATATACACATATATAACACTATGTTATAACACATATATATATATATACATACACACACATAGTGTTATATATGTGTATATACATGTATATCTTTGTGTTTATATGTATACATATGTATATACATATATATATATACATGCACACACACATAGGCACTGAGTGACCATATTTAAATCACATGCTAATCCCTTGTCCTTCAGCAGGCTGGGTTGCTTTGATTGGTAGTTCTAATTAGATTTACCCCAATGAAGATGGGGCAGATTCCCAAAGAAATATCAGAATTTTATTACAAAAAAAGGGAGGACATGGATCTTGAGTATTCAATACAATTGAGGAACAGAAATGTGCACTATTAATATTTTTAAATTGTTATTGTTTTCCTTGGTATAACCCCCCAAAAGTGTAAATGCAGTATCAGGACGATGAAGATTTTTATAGTTCCTACTGCCTAATGTCGCACTGATTTCCAAAATGTCACACTAGTGCCTGAAGCTCATCCTCCCCTAACCAGGACCGAGGGATACTTTGGTTTAAATCACACTTCTGGCAACTAACCATCTGTTGTGTATCAGAAACAGAAAATTCTCTTTGAAAGAACCCAGTACAAATTTGTAAACACATGGGACTAGACTCTCTCTCTCTCTCTCTCTCTCTCTCTCTCTCTCTCTCTCTCTTAAAATTGAGAAGGAAGAATTATCTGAAGCCTTCATCCTTCTTACCACATCGTCCAGTTCTCCATTCCACTATGTATGTTTCTTTCTCAGCACATGCTTTCACATAGTTGCCTAAAATTGTGCATAGGCATTCTTGACCATCTTCACAACTGCAAGTGTATTTTTTGCATTCCTTTAAAATAAAAAACAAATTTATATTACATTATGAATATATTCAGAAGAACATAAACTGAGTATGATGCTTCAGTTCATAACCACTCTGCTTCCCTGAAAAAAATTGTTTTTGAAACTTTGGGAAATATTTCTTTTTATAGTAAAAATTTGCAAGACAGCATATCAATAATTAACTGACTTTTCAACAAACTTAGAAAAGACAGAAAGAGAACATCATTCAAGATTTTTCTCATTTTTTGTACCACATTTTAAATTAAAATTGGTATATCTAACAATTGAATAAATTAGTGGAATCCAATGCTAAATTTAAACATATATCATCATCACTGTCAATGGTTGCTTTTAAATTTTTTTAATATCTACATGATTCTTTTGATATTATCAAAGTATTTCCTAAAAAAGTTGTTAATGTTAGACCCTCACATACCTCATGATATGGTTTAGGGTTCACAATTGGATGGCAGGAAGCAAAAGGCCCATTTGAATCAAGAAGAATTCCACAGTGACTTTCAGCAAACCTTTCTGGAAGGAAATTAAGGCACCCCAAAATTATATTAATAACTTTATAATTTTTAATTACAAGACAAAGTGCAAATGTTTAACAAAGTTTTGTCTTTAAATAATTATGTTTTTAAAGTGTCTTTAAATTGAATTTATCACTATATAAAAACAATAGCATGACATAATCAGAGACACTTTAAGCCAAAGAGGCAGAAATCTTTATTAGCTTTGGACTTTTATATAAAATCAGCTAACCTTATTCTGAAATGCAGTTTATACCTACACATAAATGGTAAAAAGAGAACCAGATTATTTACTTAGGTGTCTTTTAATTTAAAATATAAATTTATGTCTGTGTTGACAAGTTGGGTAAATGAAGCCACCACAACACCACTCATTTCACCCCTGTCGCCCAGTATAATTTCCTTAATAAGATGCAGGGCTTGGGATAACTAATATATTTGATAGCAGTGGCTGGGAGACCTGGATCTGGCTACAGCTCTATTGTTAAGTGGCTCACTCTTAACAATTTCAAGCAACGATCACTTCCATGAGCCTTGTTTAATAAACCAAATAATCTATAAAGTCTCTTCTACCCCTATTATTCTATAACCATGGAGAAAGCTGTGTAAGAAAGGGAAAAAATGGATATAGAAAATGACAACTGAGATGACCCAGCCATTCCCTGTGAAGATGTGTTTGCTAGGAATGCCCTCAGCCAGACAGACAGTTTCTCTAATCATGGGACAGTACGCCAAACAGTAGTTAAAACCAGATTTATGTGATAGGCTCCTATCATTACCAGAATAAGTACATAATTCCTAGCACCTAATCTTTAACCACCGAGTTTGGCATTTAATTAGCATTACCTGTGTCTATGCTGATGCATGAAGTTGGGTTTCCTTTAGGACAGGACATCATTTCCCAAGAATCAGCAAAAGCCTGAGACGACTTCTCCAATATATTCTGACTTGACATGAAATCATCCTCTGCTCTGTTGTTGTAGGAGCCACAGAGTCCTGTGGAAGAGCACAGGACAAAGTTGAACATCCCCTTCCCTACTCAACTTTTTGGACTCATATCCTCACTTCATAGTCAGTTCTTTAAGTCAAAACTGCAGAAGCTATCTAAGAGTACGGCTTGCTTAGTCTTTATACACGTAAGTGACCATGGAATTTGCCGTAATTGTTCTTGTTTGTTTTGTGTGACGCCATTGACAGTATGCAAGAGCTGATTTCTATAGTAGAAAAACCTCAGTGGAAGATATGAACACATGACCAGAAAAAACATGTTATACTGCAGTTTGTATGTGAAATATGATTTTCAAAAGATTGACATTCATAATATCTTAGTTTATTCTTTTACAGACCAAAATCCTTAAAAATGCATATTAACAAAAGGATATTTAACATATTATCAAATATCACTATATTTGAAAAATAAAAGCCTTTATTTAAAAGCCTAAAATGTTGAAAACCATTTTGTAACAAACAAGGTTGTCAGTACTATAAAAAGCAAATTGAAATTTTACTGAAATATAAAAAGGAAGATGAAGTAAAAATGACTTATGGTTTAATATCATTAAGAGACAGTTGAAAATTACAATAGATGATTGACATATTAGAGCCTTGGACATAAAAACATAGGCAGAGGACTTACCGACAGTGTCTGTGAATTGGTTAGGTGGCATGGAAACATATAATTGCATCACGGGATCAGTTTGTATTTGCATTTTTACATGAGAGTATGTTTCTACTTGAAAGTATGAGAGAGATGCCTTGAAAATCTGTATTTTGTCTGTTAAAAGAATTATTAACATTATTAGCAGGAATTAATATATTAAACAGTTTTAAATTTACTAAAGTGTTTTTATTCTTTAATATATATTAAAAACAGAAGCATTTATTATCATTAAAACTTGAATAAATGAATGCCTCCCACATTTATTTTTGAGTGGTATTATTAAACTTACCTGAATAGTAATAATGTTGATTTTCAATCTTGTCATTTGTGACTGTTCCATCTCTATTAAATACATATTTGTCAACTGAACCAGACTAAAATGGAAAATACATTGTTAGTTCATATCAATTTGCAAAATTATTTCAGTTTAATGCAATGTAATACATAATAGATGCAATAAAAATGGGTATAATTTTATTGGATTAGTTCCTAAATATCTAAACCATTTTTAAAGCACTTTCCATTCATACTTTGCTTCATTGTTTCTCATACCAACTCTTTGAGGAAGTTTGTAAAGGGCTCTTCATCCCCAATTGTAGATGAGGACACTAAGACCCTTGAAGGTAACTTGCATTTCCAAAGGTTAAAAAGCTTCTAAGTGCAGGCTGGCTGCTCTTCCTTCTCATCTAGGTCTATTTCCACTTAAATTGTTAGTTTCTCAGACATGAACTTGTAAGCAAATATAATTGCTTTCTTAAATGACCCACAGCATTTAATAATTTTATAATTACGTAAGGTTGATGTGTAATGAGCGTGTTGGTTGTGTATCTATGGTATATTTTCATTATTTAAGGATCCTTGGAACTATCCAGCTCTTCCAGAGACTCTACCACTTTTCTGCATAATCTTATTTGTGCTTTTAATTTACATAGTAAAGCCTCTTTTCTGCAACCTCTGAAATTCTGAATTTGTGACATAATTAATTTGGTTGTGCTCTGAGTAAACTTTAGGAAGCTGATGACTTACCGAATTTAAGGCGAGTGTAACACTATTTAAGCACGTTCCTGACATACCACTTGGACATGGACGAAGCTCAACACTAACAGACCAATCTTGATCCTGTTAAAAAATGCATTTCATTTAAATAATAATTTAAATGTTATTGATGACATGTTATTACTATTTTATTTACTCACAATGCCTGTTTGCATTTTTAAATTAAATTTATTGGGGTAACATTGGTTAATAACATTATATAGGTCTCAGGCATACAACTTTATAATCCAACATCTCTAGATTCCATTGTGTGCTCACCACCCAAAATCAAGTCTCCTTCTGTCACCACAATGCCCCTGTACAATCATTCTGCTCTGAAAATGGAATCCAACTTCAATCCATGGTATAGATTAAAATTGGTCAAGAGCTTTACCGATCAGCTCTATCTGTGTGGCCTATGATTGGTGGTTTTTCATAGCCATTGTTTTTTCTTAATCTTTACTTTCTGTCTTCTCCTCCAAGGGAGTTATGCTGTATGTGGAGACTAAGGTGAATTAGAGGCAACCTAGCTTGGTTAGTCTCTGGACAATCCACATTGTCTATTTAGGTCCTATGTGAGAGGCAATTAATAAAACCTCAATATAATTCATGTCAAACGTTGACTTCCAGTTCTCATTTTAAGATCTAGGAATCCCTAAACTATAAGAAGCAAATATTCCATACATTCTGGCATATTTCCTTCTCACTTTACCCATCCCCCATTCTCATGGATTACCTGAGGCGTACAAAGAGAAGGAAAAAAAATTTGGAAAACTGACTTTTAGCAACAGCAAGTACATTTCTCAGAGTACTGGGCATTGGCCCGCATCTCTCACTTCAGGAAACACAAATTCTGTTCATCTTTGTTTCTTACCAGGAAGACTAAATAATATTATTTATCCTCATGCTAGCCTAAAGTACAAGCTATGAAATGGGATTCCCACTTTTATTAAAATTCAAACTACTTAAAATTTTAATACTGAAAAGAATTTAAATATAAGGACAGCCTCTATCATACTGATAATATTGTCATAAAACCTAAAAATAAATGCAAAGAATAATGATGAAAGAGAAAGATGCTTCATCTATAATAATAAAAGCATAATATGCCAATTAGACCAGACATCCTTCCGGACGACCTTCCAGATGAAGCCAGGGCTGCAAGGGAAGTCTGGGTCCTGGGTACCAGAGGGAAGCCAGTGCCAGCAGCCGGGGGAAGGGAAGGCCTACTCTTGCATGAATTTCATGCACTGGGCCTCTAGTAGAATATAAAGGATAGTTTCATTTGAGACACTAGTGAACACATGCAAAGAAAAGTAGCACAAATAATTTTCCAGTGCATTTAGAAAATTATTAGTGATGAAAGGGGCTTTGTTTGTTTTTAAGCAGGAATTTCTAAAGAGCACAGGTAATACTGGTTGCCAATGTCAATGTGATAGCAAACATACTGAAATATATAACCAGTACTTGAAAGGCTGTTCGTTATTTATTTTTTTAATAATTGAAGGTGAAGATTGTGTTTCAAGTTAATTTAAAAATAGCTTGGAGCCTGTATTAGTTTTCTGAAGTGTTCGAGGTTCTTACTTACGTGGATGGCCAAAAAGTGACAGTTTCCAGGATGGTTATATTTTTCACCATCAAAGGTGGTAATTGAACTTCCTTCCACCTTACATCTTCCAGGACACATTGCTTCAGTGCAAGACCACTTTGCATCTTGGCATGTGCTGTTAAAATAAAATGGTTATGTTAAAGACCACCAATCACATCTTTAAGAAATCACAATTTACACTGACATTTAGTTAAGCTGTATTAGGCCATGCACATCCCCCACCCAACATCTCAGTTCTGATGTAATGCCTCACTGACAGTGGTATCCTGGTATTTTAAAAGTCGTGAATTCCACTGACTAAAATGATAACATCCAACTGCATTAAACAAATAAAAACTTGTAAACTGGATCTCAGGTGCTTAAATGGAACATATTTCACTGTTAGTATTAAAACATCTGCTACTTGCCCCATTGTAGACCTGCACTTTCCAATATAGTACAGAGTCGTATAGCTATTGGTTATTTGAAATCTGGCTAGTCCAGATTGAGATCTACTTTAAATGAAAAATATACAGACGACGAAGACAACATGAAAAAATTGTAAAACATTACAATTTAACGTTTTATACTAGTTTTATGTTGAAATAATAGTTAAAAGTGTTAGTTATCTATGTGGGTGACATTCATGACTCACATTATACTTCTCTTGAACAGAATTTTTGTAGATATTTAATAAATCATACTATTGTTTTTATAATCACTATTAATAAATTATTACCACATGAATCAAACATTTTCTATTTATAGGAAAATTATTATAGTATAAATACTACATTGTTTTTTATTGAGTTAAATTATTTCCCCAGAAGGACATCATATATTTCTAGAAAAGTCCTTTGGGATCCTGCAGAAATTTGGAGTTTCAGAGAAAAGTAATAAAGAGGAATGGGGAAATCTCTCTCGTCAGCAAATCCTTGCTGCACTCAAAAAGAAGAATCAAGCTAACTATTCAAAGAGGAATAATCTACACTAGCCTTTGGCACATTAAAATCTACTCCAGATTAAATTTATCTCCACAAATGTTGCCCTCTATAGAATTATTTAAAAAGTGTTGGGCTGTTTCTGATTATACATTTTATTAAATATTCTTGGCAATTAGAATGATTACTATTTCATTATTGTAACCATACTCTTGTATTATTCTTTGTTCTCTATTTGCAACCACCAACTGGAGCACTACTCAAAACACTCTTTCAGTTAGCGGAAAACATTATCTTTTAAAGATACATAGAAAGTTCACATGTTTTATACAAATATCACACTAAACATTCCTCAGCCAAAAAGATAAAATATTAACACGGAAAATCCCATGAGGCTGCTAAATTAGTCTGAAGGGTGGATTCAGGGATTATTTTAAATTAGACTAAAATATTCGTATTTTTTCACTATCAACAAAGTGAGGATGAAAAGCACACACATACCACTGAGACCCACAAGGACCTTCTCGAACGTCTCCTGACAGGTAGACATTTCCATTAGACTCACAGGGACAGTCGGCCTTCAATACACATCTTCCTTTCTCTCCAATGTCATCCAACAGATAACCTAGAATACGTTATGTAAGGTGAATCTCAAGACATATGAACCCCAGTAAATTCTCAAGCAGTGTATTGTGAAATGACTGTTGAGCTAGTTCTGATAGGTGCGGACATGCACTTAACATAATAATTTCTATTTAAGCAGTTACTCCTTCTTTGAGAACTTGCAAGCATGTAATTTTCTGAACCACAGATCAGTCTTCCTGAACCAAATATAGAATCAGAGGATAATCTGCGGGTATTACAGCCCTCAGGTACCGCAGAGACAGAAATGCACACTAACTTTAAAGGTCTCTCTCTACCCCACATCTGCTGTTTGCTAGAAGGCTGGACTATGAATAAGTGAATTCATTAAATATCTTGTTAGAGATAAGACTGCACTAGAGTGAGTCACTTCTTTTTCAGTTCTTTTGGTGTAAATATTATTACCTTCTGGGCAGGTGCAGCCACTCACACATTCACTGTCTTGAAAAGGAGCCACATTAGAACAAGTTGCAGGATTTGAGGGGCCACATTCTTTGTAAACATGTTTTTCTGGGCATTGAGGTTTTTCTGGAGAAATATAGAAATATTTATATATGAAAATTAGAGGGAAATTAATGTGATGAATATATAACATTTTAATGAGGATCTTTTCAAATAGGATTCTTTGAGTCTAATTTTCAAGATATATGTTTTTCAAGATATTCAGTACCACTATATTTTGCCAATTGACCATGCATTATTTTATAATACAAAATTTAATATGGAGGAAAGATATGCTGTACATAATATCATTTCATCTTACTTTGATCTTATTTGTATTCTAACTTATTAAGATTGATATAAGCATACGTGGAAAGTATATATATGTTCTGAAGCTTATATTTATGTTTTATTAAGACGGATCATGAGAATTCTCATGTTCTCTGTTATTACACAGTGTTTTACAAAGTATCATACTTTAAAAAGATATTAGCTTGTAAGAACATGTAATAAATAATTTCAAAATGCAATGGGTATTTAATTTTAAAGCGTGCCTTTAATATTTATGTAAAACGTTTTTTGTACTCATTCAATAGAAACTTATCTGGCCACTGGGTAAAGCTAGCAATAAAACTACTGGTCTGCAATGTGTTAATCTTTTTGAAAGAAAATCATAGTGCTAATCAATATACTTTTGATAACATTTCCAGTACTTTTACAGTTTTTTTGTACAATTTTACTCATTTCCCCCAGTGAATTTTATTTATTGTAAATATCATGAAGTTCCTCATTAACATCTTTACACAAAGCACTGCAACTTGTGGCGAGTCACTTCACCAAAGGGCCTCAGTGTCCTCGCAAGTACATGTGAAGACAAGACTCTATCATCTCTAAATGCTTCCCAGGGCTTACAATCATCTGAGAAGATCACTATGAAACATAGCTCAACTTTAAAGTCCCATACAGGGTTGGTCCAAAGTAGGTTTATAGTCATTCGTATGGAAAATAATACAATAATTAATAAATAATAATACAACAACAATAAGCTCTGTGTTTCGTGTACTCACTACTGTAAACCTACTTTTGTCCACCCCTGTGTAAACTTCCTGATTGGAAATCTACAATAAAATGAAAAACCTACCGCAAACCACATCAGAATCATCTCGCCAGGATTCGTAGGTGCCGGGACCATCTGAGGCACAAAGGCGGGACAATTCTGAGTAAGTGTCACATGTCGAATTTTTGTCTCCATTTTGGCAATACTCATCAATGCAGACCTTTTTGTAGTCACTGGATAAGGCAGAAACCTTTCCACATTCCTCAAAGTAGGTTCCAATAATTTTGTTACAGTACTGCAAAATAAAATATAAAGTTTTTATAAACATTAAAAATGAACAAATGAATATTTAAGAAGAGATCAATTCAGAAGTACTTTTCTGCATAATATCCTGTAGTTTTGACAGGGAGGATTATTGGATGCTGGTTGAAATGAAGAATTTTTAAGGATTATAGTAGATACAGTCACTCCTAAAATAGTACTTCGCTTGTGGCATTTGAGTTGCTATAAAACAACTTCAAAAATTGTACCTGAATTCATCCCAAATTTCTCTAAAGGTGACATGAGGTTTAGAACTTGAGAAAGTGGAAGAGGTGAGAAAAGGAGAGATCAGTCGATATCAGAAATTGGATGGTAAATGATTTATAACACAATAGACAGAAGGGATACTGGCCCTTTAACTGTTAGTCTGCTTATATTTGATGAGCAAACAGATGACAGTAAAATGCAGTGACTGTTTTCTTGGTGTGGGCTATGTGAGTTTGTTCTGGAAACAATATATTTGTTCTCATGTTGGTTAAGAAAGTAAAAACATGTTAATGAATCCAAAAAGTTCAAATTTCAATATATCTTAACTATCTCATAACTATCTTCTATTTTAACCATTTTAGTTTGCTTTCTTTCAGGAAATGTGAAAGCTATTGCCAAACAAATGCACGATTTGCACTAATTAAATTCTGGGACAACTGATAATATTCTCCAAGTGAAGTATAAAATAAAGTGAAATAACACCTACAAAGATTGCTTTTACATCTATTGTTCTTTGTTACTTTCTCTCTAGATTATAGGTCCCTTTAGGGCAAGAAATATAACATTGAATTGAATATTGCATGGATTAGTACCAGGTCTTGGATATAGTAGGTCTTTATCAAGTATTCACTGGCTTTAACATAAATTTATGTAAACATTCAACTAACATTTTTAAGCAACAGGGGTAACTTCTCACACAGTATGCAACTACCACAACAAATGAGACATTATCACGCAACTCATACATAATCTCATAGAAAACATATATGGGAAATCATTATAGATGGTGTCTTATTGTAAGGACCAATGAGTGACAGAGAGAATGAAGGAAAGAGAAGGCATTCTAAGTGCAAAGATCAAGGAGGGTTTCACAAGGAAGATAGTAGATGATCTTGTATAACATCACGGTTTAATTTGATTTGCTAAAAGATGACAAGATGGTTATAAATGTAACAACCATTGTCAATAGAACAAAAATTTCTTCTATCTTTTGATCTTGAGAATTTTGCTCTAGATTGAAACAGGAATATGTGAATATTCACTCAGTCACCAAATGAATCTATCGAATTCAACATAACACAAGGTTGGAAAATTCACAGAGTGAATAATGACTATTCTCAATTGTCATAGTCAAAAATATTACCTCTAACTCTTTCAAAAAGAAGGTAAAGGATATAAAGGATGACAATTCAGACTGGTTCTCTGGGGCAAAAGTAAGAAAGCAAGAACAGAAACTAGTTCTTAGGGACAAGGTACATGGATTTCTAAACTGTAAGAGTCAAGTTAGTACCCATGAAGAGGTAATAATGCAGAGGGGAAATGTGTCAATTTACAGACAAATGAAAACACTATGCAAAGGAAATGAGAATTGTCACACTAATACATAGTTAATATCACAGTGTTTTGGGGAGAACATTATTTTGTCCTCTTTAGTTAGACTAAAGCTCAGACTACAGGGACACTGGAGGGGAAGCAGTTGCAGAATTCTAAGATGTGAGTGCTGAGAAAGGATGCTGGCTATCTAAATTGAAACCCAGGGGAATATTGCAGAAATTTGCTACTAGATGAAATACTAATTTCTTACCTCTACTCCATCTTCGCAAGTTTGATAGGTTTTACTAGTAGCTTCAGGGCAATCACCAGCAATTTTACTCTTGGCAATGTGCTCATTGATGTCTTCTCCTTAAAAAGAAAACAATGTTTGATTCACAATATGCATTACATGTACACGTTATCTTCAAGCTAAACATAGACTTGACAACATAAATATAGACATATATTTATTTTAACATTTTTTCATTCTTTAGACAAATGCAAAGTGTTGTTACAGTTACCCAAACATGAGCATTTACTTTATAATTTTCTTTTGGGAAGCAATATTCTTGTTCATAATACATCGAAATCTTACCTGGAGTGGTGTTGAAATTACCACAAAGACCGCAAGTTGGATATTGCTTGTGAAGAGTGAGCTTTAAAAGAAATGTATATATTTATAAAATATTGAAAATATCTTAAGACAATATTTACCCAAAACAAAGAACATGGCTCTTAGTATTTTATTCTATCTAAGCTGGTTACTTATGGATATACTACCGGGTGTGTGATTTTTAAGAACCTAACTCTAGAATTTGGAATAAATCCTGACTCCACCACTTACGAACCGTGTCTTTGAGCAGGTTATTTAACTTTTTCATTAGCGTGAATTTCATGAATTCCATCATCTTTAAATTAAGATTAATAATAGTATGTACTTCAAGATGTTTTAAATATTAAGATAATGGTTAGTACAGTGACAAATACATAGAGATTGCTCAATGAACTTTAGCTCTGGTTTTATAATGTATTGTTTTTGTAACTAAAAGCAAAGAAAAAATAGCACAGGATTATAAGAAAATCAAAGATAAACTTACTGAGAGTTTGTTATTTTTGTCCCACATTAATGACAAGATTCCTCTACGGCTGTTCAGGACATTATATTCTCCATGTTTTTTAATGTGAATCAGCTTGTTGTTATATGGTATCTGTACACTGAAAAGTATAAAAACACAAGTACATATAAATGTAAAAAGTATTCTTATAACACCTTTGGTAATTCATTTTTCTATAGTTAGAAAATCTGTCTAGTAATTATTAAAGTTTTCTTTTTTATATTATTTCAGAAGAGATACAGTGGTTCTTTTCCCAATATTGGAAAGACTTTTAAGAAACAATGAATAAATCTTTGGGACTTTGGAGTAATTAACAGCAACAACAACAAAACACAGTGGTTCAGTATAAAAAAATAATGATGAAATAATTGGAAATGTTCACAAATAGAATAATATGCCGCATTTTCTTATCCTGGTAAGTATTCAAATATGTTATCCTTTCCAAATGTAAATTACTATGTCTGTAAATCATGGCCTACAGGCTTCAATCTATTATAAAACCTCAAGTTTATATTTAGTGTTAAACATACAAGTAAAAATTGAAATATTCTTTAAACAGTTTTGTTGAATACACATGTTGCTCAAAATCAAGATACTCAAAATAGTAAAACAACAGACATCTCTTTTTTCCCTACCTTGTTAAAGAAATAAATATATCTTACAATCCCACATATATCTGTATTATAGAGTTACCAAACTCTTTTCCAATAATTTATTAAAAATATCAACATGCATCAAAATAGAAAAAGAGTACATCATCTCTCACCATATCTTTATCCATACACTATTTCATTTACCTTTCTTCATTAACTAAAATGGTGTCACCAGATATAGAGATGTCATTATTGTCAATTAAAACTGTTATTTTTTCAATCTCATTATCATCGTTTCGTTTGATCTCAATATTGAAATCTCCAGAGTCAACGCAGTGGCGGCAGAAAGTGTACGTGCATGATGACTCAAAGGAAAAGATACGGCCGTTGAAAGCTTTGTATGCTCCTTCGTCCCAAGTAGAAGCTTCACCTGTAAGATATTTAGAATAGAATATTCATAATTACTCATACAATTAATGTACTATCTAGTTCTGATTTATTAAAGTGTTTATTCACCAAGATAAAAAAAAAACTGAAAGATTCTATTCTCACAGCCATTAGCTTTATTCATTACTTTTCTTTCTCACATACTTCAAAAGCACACTAAAAGTAGCACCTGAGGCCTTGGGAATACCCAAAGTTGGCTATCTGGCAAAACAAAACATGAATAAAGCATCTTGTTTCCATTGGAAGAGGGAAAATGAGTTTACTATGGGGAGGAATCTATGGAGGGAACTGGTGGTCCGCTTAATTGTTTTGCTCTTTATACAGATAGTCTTTTTAATGTTGTCTGAGTTGGTTAACATTTATATCAAATGAATGTAAAGACTTCTATTATTTCTTTCTATACATATATATGCACATGTATACATGTGCATATATATTTATGTGTCTTTGTATGTATCTTTGAGGAAAAATAGTATTGATGCAATGTTATTCACACATACAATGAACAAATAGATAATGGCAAATTGGTTACTTTATACCTCGCTAGAGGCCTGGTGCATGAATTCGTGCACTAGTGTGGTCCCTCCACCTGGCCTGCGGGATCAGGCGGAAACCAGTTCTCCGACATCCTTTGAGGGGTCCCAGATCGTGAGAGGGCACAGGCCAGGCCAAGGGACCCCACAGGTGAATGATCAGGGCCGGGGAGGGACTCGAGAGGTTGGCCAGCCAGGGAGGAACCTCGGGAAGGTTCCAGGGCATGTCTGGGCCGTAGCTCATTCCCAATCAGCTGGACCCCAGCAGCAAGCTAACCTACCGGTCAGAGCATCTGTCCCCTGGTAGTCAGTGCACATCATAGGGAGCAGTTGACCTGCCTTAGCATATCATTAGCATATTACCCTTTGATTGGTTGAACGGTTGACCGGATGACCGGACACTTAGCATATTATGCTTTTATTATATAGGATTAGGTACTGACTAGCTTAGGCATATAAATATGAATAAGAATCACAATAATTTTTACTTACCAATAATTGTGTTTGTTTCTGAGTATGTGGGAGTTGCTTCTGGAATATGAGATCCTTTTTCTATTCAATACAATGCATAGATTAGTAAAATTTCAGGACATATATTGATTTTAAATATATAGTTCATTTGGGCATCTATATGGAAATTAAGAAGTTGGTACTAAAATCTATAAATGGGGTTTGTTTTATCCTGGATATATAATTTTATTTTGTGAAAGCTGTGATTTGCCAAGGTCATACACATGATTATCTCTGAAATTCATATTTTTTCTTGGAACAATCAGCCATAGTAAGCTCAGAAATTAAGAGCTTATTAATTTTGGGCATCTACAATTACAAACACATGTTGCATCCCTAACAGAACTATTTTTTTCAACTATAAATTTTTATTGGCCATTGCCCAAACAGGCCCAAGATAAATTGTATTAAACCAGTCTACTATATAATACTGATAATTCAAATATATATATATATATATATATATATATATATATATATAAAGAAAAACTAATTTTCCTGATCAAAGGGAAAAATCAGTATACCTTGAAATTTGTTTCTCATGACTGTTTATTTCTAATGCACTGACCCTTTTATGTAACCAAGTAAATTTATAAGAAATCTTGGAGCAACATCTAAATGCAAGCATAATAAAACAACAACAATAACAAAAGTAAAGATTTTTATATAAATTTAAAAACATTTTTTACAATGCCATTTATTGTGTATCTTGAAGCCAATTCTCTTCACAACAGGCTGTCTTTACTAGGAGTGAGTGGAAATAGTTTTAACTCTTTATTCAAAACTAAATTTTAAAATAATATATCTAAAATGATATAGAAGTTGCACTATATTTTATTCAGGTTGACTTAAAATAATTTACTCTCTCTTATCCATGAAATTGTTTCAAATATGCACTTGGTTATCTAAACTTTAGTACTCAAAGAGAAGAGCACTTAGAAACTCATATCAATATGAGAAACACATAATAGGATATTATTGATTTACTAGTATTATTACTTATACTTTATATAGATTATAGATTTATTTTTTTTTTCAAAACTGAAGTCAAAAATTAAACTACCTGGAGTACTGGGAGGTTCCGTGGTACTGTAGTCAGATGAGCTTGTCACACCTATTTAATACAAAATGATTAGGTTGTTTATGTGTATCTTTTAGTTGGTAAAATATGAAAAAAGGTTTTAAAATCTGATGGAAAAGCTATGGCTCCAATTTCAGCAATGCTAATGCTAAAAAACTTAAAACCATGTGAGGTTGCATTATATATATATATATATATATATATATATATATATATATATATATATAATTCTCTCTCTCTCTCTATATATATATATATATCTCTAGATATTTTTTGTGTCAGAACTTAAAACCATGTGAGGTTGCATTATATATATATATATATATATGGAGAGAGAGAGAGAGAGAGAGAGAGAGAGAGAGAGAGAATTATCCACTGAACAACCTGCTGGAGTAACAGAATGAAATGCCTTGCCACTAAACGGACTGACACAAAATTACTCTATTCCAGATCAATGGCTTTAAAACTTATTCAGGAAAAGAGGTAAGGATTGCAGAGAAAGGGTTCCAGGTCTCCTATCCCAGTTTCAGTCACACTTCCTCCCACTTTAAATTATTTTACATTTGGGAAATCTAGCTGCCATTTCAAAATGTCAATTGAACAAAGCATTCTGCATTCCTAAAAGCTGGAAGTATGAAAATCACGAATCTAGATGAACAGAGATATTCGTCTCAAGATGTGAAATGTCAAGGGAACCACAATCTGCCATTTCAAAGCCACTAGATTTACTGCCATTAAATACACTACCAGAAAGAACACTAATCAACAAAAGTCTGTCTGATTGAGAAAAATGAAAGCTGTTGAAAGCTGACTTTCAATGAGCAGAAAAATCTCAAATTAGCAGTTACTCCACAATCGAAAGATAGGAGGCAAGTACTTCTCAGTACATGTCTCAGGAACAAACCCTAAATGTGTATGCCTGAGCTAATGGCAGCAGATCTGAGGGTCAGAAATCCAGCGTCCCTTAAACCATTTGTACCAACTGTGCCTAAAGGAAGTCAGTGGCAATAAATTATGGGTGATTTTAAATTTCTCAGTTCTGTTGAAGTGTTGACCTCTACATCGATGTCCAAAACTTAAGAACAACCCCAAATAATTATTGTTTCTATATGACCAGGACTTTTTTGAACAGATCGATTGATGACCAATTCTGACTGAGGTCAACCATTACTACACTACACTGTATCTATTACTAATTAGACTTCACTAAGTTTCCAGAGGCACAAATACTAAATCCAGCCCAACATGTTGTACTGATGCTATCTGCTCATTTTAAAAAAGATTGTCACTGGGAAATATTTAAATACATCTTATGACTCTACTTTTTATGCACAAAACCTGAAGAGTAATCCCTACAACCTGATTTTCCAGTGTTCCCTTTTTCCTTTTAACCAAGCCTTTTTGTTCAAGACCATTGATGCCAACTCCACAGGACAGAATTACCAAGACCAAATCCAAATAAACCCTTCTTTTACCACCAAAATGAAAAGCAAATGGAAAATGAAACTGTTATCAGTATCAATAAGCAAAGGATGTAAATTATTTGTATTTTTTTTTTCTTAATAGAGACTGGATCAGAATTCCTGAGCCACTGACCCGGGAGCCAAAGCCCATGGGTTTACCAACAAACTTTTTGCTGTTCTTTCCATTTCCACCAACCTCCACATCTTCTAAGGTAAATAGCTCTGACACAAAAAATATCTAGATTTACTGTACTTTATTAATCCATATTTCTTTCCCTGGCTTCAATTTTTCAATATAAATTTCTAATTATCCACAGTTTTATAAATCTACTTTTTCCTGACATTTATTTTTCCAGAAAACTAGTTCGAATATGAGTAATAGAACTTGTAAAGTTCTAGTGTAGTATAACTTATAAAGCATTGCAAAAGTCATAGAAATATAAAACCAAAAGGTTTCTGTTCTTATGTCAAAACTTGTGAACAAAAGAATTGTTTTAAATATTATTTTATTGACTTTGAGAGAGAGAGAGAGAGAGAGAGAGAGAGAACGAAGAGGGAGAAGGGAGATACAGAAATATCAATTGGCTGCCTCTTGCTCGCCCCTACTGAGGGTCAAGCCCAAAATCCCAGGCATGTGCCCTGACTTAGGATGGGGGGCAGGAAGAACTAGTGACCTCTTGATGCATGGGATGATGCTCAACTAACTGAGCCACACTGGCCGAGCAGGAACAAGAGATTTTAAGTGGCTTCCCCCAAGTCCACAGAAGGTTACTGAGAAATCCTGAGGACAGAAACTGGATATCTTCCTTCCAGGTCCAAGCCCCTTCATTAAAGCATTGTATCTGTTTGCCTCTTAATTAAAATGTTTAAATTCCTGTTGAAGATAACACAGATCCTTTAAGAATCAAACATAGTTTAAAAATCTTTCCCATGAGTTCCTCTAACAGTAAGTCTGTATTTGTCAAAAACACCACCAGTCCCTGCTTTGCTCATTGATGATTTTTCTACCAAAAGAAGAAACTAAGAAAAAACTTAGAACACGGACAGCGAAATTAGAGCCAGCTCCTTTTTTTTGCATTCTCCTCAAATCCACTTGGGCCAGATGGATCCTTACCAGCTTCGTTTTGATTTGAATCAGTGCCAGCAGCATCCGTACCACCAGAGTCACTGCTGTCAGAACTACTTGCCGTAGTGGTTTCCTCTGCAAAAATACAATCATTATCAGAGAAAAGTTGCATTCATTGACTGGTCAAGAAATGGTACTATACATATTGCTTGAACTACGCCTACAATTCAAATGCAATGTATATTCCCCCTCCTCTCCATATGCCTTTCCACATATACTTCCACACTGTAATCAGGGGTATGCATGGCAACCAGTTTGCCAGGAGGTTTGATAGAATTCCATAAGAGTTTCATTGTGTTCTGTGTAACATGAGCAAACAATTAAACGTCTCACTATCATAAAAACAAGTGGTAATGATTATTAGCCATACCAAGTTTGTCAATTTCAAAACAGATGACTGGTGTCCTTCCTGAAAATATCTCAACTGCACCCTTACACCCAAGGCTGTTTCTCCCTTTTCAGATATCCCAAAATGAACTCAAATATTAAATTTTAATATGAAACATTGAAGTTATTTTCCTCATGGAATCTCCTTTCCCATTTATGTAGAGCTATGAAATATAGATATTTCAGGGACCAGGCAGGTAAAGTAAAAGCCTGAATTGGCCAATAAGGAGTAGTTTATTGAACCAGAGAGGACATGCCTCATCTAAAGAAATTTAATTCCCCCCCGCAAAAAAAAAAAAATTGTGAGGCTACAAACTGTTTAGAAACCCTGCTTTATGCTATCACTCAGCAAATTGACTATGAAAGTTAAAGAGAAAATACTGATATAGAAAATGAATTGTGGTTGCTAACAGAAACATGAGAGATTAAATTTGGGTCCGGAAGCATTTTAAATTAGTAACTTATACTTTATAAAATGGCTGATCATCATAATAATGGTACTAAGTAGAAAGATAACAGAAGAAAATAAAAAGTATCGGGGAAAAGTTTGGTTTAATGTAAACATCTTTGCTACAATTCTCTAAAGACGGAATTCATCACTTTCAATGGCACTGGTATTAGTGACGTTAGATGATTCCTACTCCACTGTTACTATTCAGGCCAGGAACTACCAATAAAACAGAGATGATCAGGTTCTCCCAAGTGAGAAAGAAGCCCCTGCTTCCTAGGGAAGCATTGTCTCTAGCAGTACCTGCTGGGGTGTCCTCTAGCTCCAAACTCTCAGTATCTCGCCGCTCTCGCCGCCTGCCCTCAGCCTTTCCTGGAGAACCATGTTCTGTGTCGAAGACCGAAGCAGCAACAGATTTCCTTCCGTGTGAGTCATCAAAGGGTGAACCTGCAACCAGTAAGTCACCTGGTGTGAGAACAGGAGATTTCATTTGAAAACAGCATTGCTGTCACAATAAGGTGACTTGATTGCGACACTATGAAAAGCCACATTTTATTTTGTATCAGCCTTGTTTTTCTGGCAACACTTGAAGCAAAATATGCTACTGATTGACTTAATCGCCATAGTCACATCTTTTTGTCTTAGTTTTAAGACTTCAAGAAAGACGAATACAATGGTGATGGAAGGAGTCTTGATTTGGGTTGGTAAACACGCAATACAATATACAGATGATGTATTCTAGAATGGTACCCCTGAATCCTATATAATTTTGTTAACCAGTGTCACCCCAAATAAATTCAATTTAAAAAGAAGATGAATAGGGAAGACGTATCAGATGTGTCCTAGAAATTCTCCTTGCGGACAGAGGGCAGGGACTTCCCTCTGTTTCCTCCCCCATTGCTAAGCCCCACGTTTCAGTATCCAACCTTCCCCCATCAAAATATGAGTGTGGACAGTTGAATCCACACTATCCTTGGCTTAGTAATAACTGATAATTTTAAGAAAACATATCTGTTTCTCTTTTCCTTATATCTACAAAGAAAAAAAAAGATTGAAACCTTTACTCATAATTTAATGGTAGCATTCACCTCTTCAAGTCTTAGTTGAAAAGTCATCTCAATGAGGCATACTCTGAGGATTTAAAATTGCAACACCATCCCGTTCTAACACTCCTAACTATTCTTATTCAGTCCAGGATTTTATCATCTTGTCATATACCATGTTATTACTTATAATGTTTATTGTTTATTGACTGTTCATTCTACATTTTGAGCTCCATAAACTCAAGGTGTGTTTTTTTGCTTGTGTGTGTTGTTGTTGTTGTTTTGCCTGTTTTATTCTCTGAGACATCCCAAGTGTCTAGAACAGTGCCTGAAACACTAAGGACAATCAACTAACATTTACTTAACAAATGCATTCATCAACAAAACACTCTTGTTAAGGTAATGTACACTACATTACATGAGGTATTCTATGCTCTCTGTCATACCACTTATTTTTTTAATCTCCCAAATAAAATGAAAATACTTTAGGAGTGATAATGCCTTAATGAATACACTATTCCCATAAAGTTGTGGCAAACATGCATTTTGGTCACTGACTAGACAAGAAAACGAAATTCATGATTTATAAGTAAAATTTGAAGACTATGTAAAAATAAGTACAAATAAAAATAAGACAACATTCTCCCTAATGAAAATAAAGGAAAAGAGACTCCCCTCCTCTTTTTTAGATCCTTTACTTTAGAAAACTTGTGAGTTCTTTATCTACCTCTTTGATCTAAAAATACCTTATAAGAAAAACATATAAAAGTAATCTTGGGCTATTTTGATTGTTGTATACGTTAGACTGGAATGATAGTAAATTTATATTGATATTAGCAAAAATATTATTGTTAGATTTAAGAAAAATTCCATGAAAGCAGTCTCGATTTGCTGTGGCTTTTTATTTTGGTGGCTAAGGAAACAAAATAATGGATAATATTCCATGATATTCAATTGCCCAAAGGAATCAGTAGTAAAACTGTTAGGACTAGATTGAGTTTAATTAAAATAGATCACTAAGGAATTAATCCCAGAGTGCAAAATAAGAGCATGTTTGTTCAATAAAAATATAGGAAAGTAAAACCTTAAATCCACATCCACATTTCTCATGTAAGTATGTGATTTTAGAAAAGCTAACAATCAAAGCAATTTTCCATTTCAAATGTTACCACCTTATAAACAACTGGTTAAATATTAAAATGTCTGACCCATATTATACAAAAATACACTAGAATACGTTTGTTTGTAATAATAAGGAAGATTTGATGAAATGTTTTAGTGATTTTTCCATATGCTTTCTTTTCAAAGAAAAGTACTGCCGCTGTGTTGTGACTTGGTATAAAGAGTATAAGAAAAGAAAACCAAATAATTTACCTGAACTGCTTTCAGCTACTTCATTATCTAAAGAAAAAAGAAGAATTGCTGTCATTACTAGCATATTTGACAGATTTGCCAATAGAAAGCGAATCTTGATTACAGTCATTTCTTGTCCTTGGGAGGTGTTCCCACAGAGATAGGCTCATTGAGTTCAATACTCAGACATGAATATGGAAATTATCCATTGACCGTGGTATGTTTATACCCCTTCTGAACAACCTTATAAAAAGAATACTTGTGCCAGTCCCCCAGCCAGTTTAGAGTACAGCCTAGATGCATGAGTTAGAACGCAGAAAAATACAATAATTCTTGGATGATTGCAAAGGTTCTTCACAGCATTAATTATTATTCAGTTGGTGAAACGCAGATGTTTTAGTGAACAGATTTTTTTATGTGGCAAAAATACTGTGTAAACTTAATTTACTTACTTTGAACCAAATGACCTCAATTTTTATTTTATAACTGGATCCCATAAAATTAATGTACACATAGTTTACAAATGATTTAAGGGTTATTATGGTAAACCAAAGTGAATTTTCTTCATATTTAAATAAATAACATATAAATTTGCAAACTTGTCAAGCTCTAGTAAGTACAACTGAGTCAATGACTCACAATAAGAGTGAGTATATACAACAAATGGCATAATTTACATATAAAGATATTTTTATAAAAAACATCAAAATCATTGTTATCCAAAAGAATTTTCGTAATAATTATGTGAAATTAAATATAACAGAATGGCAACAACAAAATTTTACATAAAGTTGCATATTGATTATATATTCAAGAAACTTCAAAAAACATTTTGGATAACATTTTTATTTGGAGACTTCATGGATTGCAGGTTGTTGGTTATTTTTCAATACTTCTCTATACTCTGTAATTTTTACAAATTTCCTAACTCAAACTGATGACATTATTCAAGTGAAAGTCAAAGCATATGGTCGTATACTAAGATAAACTTCTAAAAATTAGAACTGTCCCAGAAAATCAAGGATTTGTGGTCAGCAAACCTATTTCAGACCTATAGGTGTAAGACAAACAGCAAACACAGCCAGTTAAAAGACAAAGGGTTTCCTATGTGTGCTGATAAATTCTTACCAAAACCAAATTGTGTGTACTTGCACAAATACATGCACACATATTTAGCTGAAGGCTAAGAAGAAATGGTTTACAGATATGGTTTGAAGATAATGTAAATGTTTCTAAAAAATGTATAATAACATATCCTCCATATAGGTTAAATCCGTGGAAGAGTCTCTCTAAAATATAAGTTGAGTTATATTAAACAAATAGAGTTATCATAAAACCCATGCATGAATTTTATCCATAAGGAAAATCCCACAGTGTCTCAGAGTGCACTCTATTACTACAAGTACTAAGCAAATGAGCTTGGATTGATGGTGTTCTCACCCCAGTTGACTAAAAGAAGTAAGTAATATTTGGAACTGTGTACAAAAAAAGCAGATATAGTGATCCTATCAGGATATAGAGCTGGATGTTTAACAGAAGTAGGAGAGACAGAAAAGCAGACACAGTAACTCAGAAACCATCTCTGGAGTAGGGACAACTGTTTTGTACCTATCAGTAGATTCCAAGGGCAGCATTGCTTAATATGTATTGTGATAACTGGTATGCATTTTGATGTCCTCAAAGAAAGGTTAAACTATGTTTAGCCCTAGCAGGTTTGGCTCAGTGAGGAGAGCCTTGGCATGTGGACTGAAGGGTCTTGGGTTTGATTTTGGTCAAGAGCACAAGCCTAGGTTGCGAATTCAATCCCCAGCAGGGGGCGTGTAGGAGGCAGCCAATCAATGATTTGCTCTCATCATTGATATTTCACTCTTTCCCTCTCCCTCCCTCTCTGAAAGCAGTAAAAATATTAAAAACATAAAAAAGTTTAAACTATGTTTAGAAGCCCCTTATCTTCTTGGGTAAGACAAAATATCTGTGGCTCATTTCAGAAAGCATATCTTGTAAAGGATTTGATTACTTTCAGAAAGAAAAAAATCTTTTAGGCATAAAAAAATCAGATTTATGGTTCTAAATTATTTTATCAATTCAAAACAAATATACACTGAGTGCCTGTCCCATTTTAGCTGCTGTTCTCAGCATTGTGAATACAGACTGAACAACATTGATCAAAATTCTATCCTTGAGGAGTTTACAATTCTGTGGGATATATGAGAAAGGAGCCCTGGCAGTTCACTCACAAAATTAAGTGTGAGTGAAACATCAATTTTCTGTATTCCACGTTGCTGGGAATATAAATTGGCACAGCTATTATGGAAAACAGTTTGGAGGTTCATCAATAAATGAAAAATAGAACTACCATGTGACCCAGCAATTCCACTTCTAGGTATTTATCCAAAGAACATGAAATCACTGTCTCAAAGAGATATCAGCATCCACATATTCTTTGCATCATTTTTCACAATAGCCAAGACCTGGAAACAAACTAAGTCTCCATTGACAGATGATGGCTAAAGACATGGGAGAGTATTCAGCCATAAAGAAGGAAACCCTGCCTTTGGTGACAACATGGATAGACCTTGAGGATATTTATGTTAAATGAAATAAGTCAGACAGAGAAAGTCAAATATTATATGATCTCCCTTATATGAAACCTAAAAACCTCTAGCTCATGGAAACTAAAAATAGAATGGTGGTTGCCAAGAGTTTTGTGGCAGAGGATGTGGGGAGATATTGACCAAAAGTATAAAGTTTCAGTTATCAGATGAATAAGTTTGGGGGATTTAATGTACAGCATTGTGACTAAAGGTAACAATATTGTATTATATACTAAAAAGTCACCAAGTGTCTAGATCTTAAATGTTCTCACCACACACAAAAAAAAAGTTATGTGAGGTGATGGAGGTGTGACCTAACCTTAGTATAATAATCATTTCTCAATGTATATGTATATCAAATCATCCAATTATGCTGTATACCTTAAGCTTACACAATATGTCAATTATATCTCAATATGGCTGACAAAATATTTCTGTGTTTCAAAAGCAGGCTCTGAATACACCTTGAAATATCTAAGATAAATTTCTGAAAGGTACTGACCTGACTTTAGTCTAAAAAATAGGGCTCCACCATCTGTAAAAAATAAAAAAAGTAAAAACATCATTTTAAAATTCTAGCATATTTTAAGACAATGAAATTAATCTTCTTGTTTTCATTATTTTTATAAATTCAATATATGCTATCAACTTTTACATTAATAACTATTACATTTCAATATTAATTTATTATTTTGGAGTTTTTTATTTATTAAATAACATCTATATAGATCTAAGTAATACATTTACCTGTCAACATACTTAAAGTTTTCAATGTCAACTCATTTTTGGAAATATATGGCCAAAAAAATTAAACCCACAAATTAATTAGTACTTTATATCCTTGTAACACTATTAAAATATTTTACAGCTTTCAATCTGATCTAAATTTCACCTGATTTTATTTCCCCTAAACATTTTCTGGTTAATGTGTTTACAAGCAGTGAATTAGATAAAAAAGAAAATCAACTGTATAGCTTTTACTCTACTGACAGGATAGAATATTCTGGGAGGAAAATAAGAATTAAATATACATATCCATTTCATGCCAAATCTATATCTCCTGTCACTGGAGTTTTTCCACTTAGCTAGGGAAGCGTTGTTTTTTTGTGGGTTTTTTTCTTTCCTTCTATACACTTATGGTTGGTTAAACAATACAATTTTTTTCTGGTTGATTATATGGATACCTTTTAAATATCTGCCTTCTTTACCTTCCAGCTCTCAAGCCTTACCATCCTGTGATCTACTGAAAATCAAGGGAGTCTGGTTTGGAACAGAGACCTCATTGACAAAGAGCAATAAAAAGTCACTCGGAGAGTCTTCAAAAAGCAGTTTTCTAGGTTTTTCTATTTCCTACCATAAACTTATAAATACATAAAAACTCTGAATTTTGTCACTAAATCACTAATCTTTGAAATTTCCATTGAAATCGTTTCTCAGAAATATGATGCATATCTAGAATTTATTTTAGAAACATATTCCAGTTCTGTGGTGAATTTAATAGACTAGCAAATACTTTTAAACACATTTTTTGAGATATATCATTTAATAAATTATTTGAAAATAATGTATTTTTACTCAGTTACTTAAGAAGTAAGAAATACATTCATGCAAAATAAAGGCAAAAATGTTTATATTTGTGCAAAGGAGAAGCAAAGATATAACAAAGTGCTAATGAGATTATGAAAATCACTATTACATAAAGCAACCATTTTCTAAAGGTCCGTCAGATTATTTCCCAGGTGGTATCATTTAAGGATAGAAACATTTTCTCTTAATCTTAACAAATAATTGCAGTCCCCTCTATCCTGCCTTCTCATAAAAAAGTAAATTATACCCTACTCCTAAATTTAGAAAATACATTTTAAGTGTAAATATAGAATGAATCTTCTCCCTTTTGCAGACCTTTCTTCTTTGTTTGGATGTTAATGTTTTTCTGCCCTGTTCAGAAACAGAATTAATTGGCAAGAAATACATTTGTTTCTAACCATGTTTTTCTCAATTTTTAATTAACAGAATTAATCAATGATGTCCTACCTTTCAATTAATTTCAGAAATCAATTAATTGATTTCTGAAATATCCAGGGGAAATCTTAGTTTAAGAAATTTTCCCAACAAAATGTTCTTTTGGTGATGAATCAGTCTTTTAATTAGTGATATTATCATGATTTGAAGGTCTTTAGTCTTAATGTTGCTATAACTTTAAGATAGTCATTAAAGGCTAAACTGTGAAAATTAGTAACAAACACTACATACATCTTGAGTAACCTCTTCACAGATATTTCTAAGTAGATATATCCTGAAGACAGGCTTGCTAAAACTGAAATAATATCCAAGAGATTGAAAATCCAGGTGTATGTTTTTTAATTTAATATATTACTCTAAGAGTTGGAAAAATTTTCCAAGGAAAAAAATGTTTGAAGTAGAAAACACCAAACAGTTAAGCAAACGTATACCTAGATCTATCACATTTGAAATGATTTTCAGTTAGTCCCTTACCTTTGCAGAAGACACAAAGTGTCACAACCAAGTACAAAGAGGTCAACTTCATGGTAGTAATTTGGGACCTAGAAATAGAGACAGGTCATCCTGGAGAAACAGGTCCACAGCAGACCCTCAAACTAGAGCTTTTATACCCACTCATACCACCGTCTCTCGTCATGGGCTAGGCGTGGTAAACTTAGTGATGACAGAACAAAGGTAAATATCACGGCATGCCAAAGACGAAATCCATTTCAAGTCAGGTTTGTGTTTTATTTATATGACATCTTCTGTCTCGGACCCAGTACAGTTCATGCCAAACCCAGCCCTGTGCAAACAGCGAAGGCAGGAACTAAAAGCCTCAGGATTAAACACCAAACAGGCTGATGATATGCATTTATCTGTCCCCTATTCATTATTGCAAAAGCCTTAATACCTCAAGAAACTCAAATATTATAATTAAATATTTCAATTGCCTCTGCCTTCACAACAAACGTGTTTTAAACATTAGGTTACCTTGAAACAAAGAACTCTTTATTTATTGACTAGAGGCTCGGTGCACAAAATTTGTGCATGGGGGGATGTCCCTCAGCCCGGCCTGCACCCTCTCTAATCCGGGACCCCTCGGGGAATGTCTGATTGCCTCTCGCAATCCGGGACTGCTGGCTCCTAGCTGCTCGCCTGCCTGCCTGATCGCCCCTAACCCCTCTGCTTGCCTGCCTGATCACCCCTAACCACCTCTGCCTGCCTGATTGTACCTAACCACCTCTGCCTGCCTGCCTGATAGCCCCTAGCCACCTCTGCCTGCCTGCCTGATAGCCCCTAACTGCTCCCCTACCAGCCTGATCACCCCGAAATGTCCCCTGCTGGCCTGATTGCCCCTAACTGCCTCTGCCTCACCCTGCACCCAGGACCCAGGATTCCCTCCTCCAGCCGGTTGTAGGCATCCAGGATCCAGGCTTCCCTCCCTCTGTGTGCTGGCGGCTCCACTTGGGCCGCAGCCGGCTTCACCAGGGCGGCCGCAGCAGCAGGGGACTGTGGGCTGGCGGCTTCACCCGGGCCGCAGCCACAGGCACCTGGGACCGTGGGGCGGGTGGCTTGTCCCTTTCCTGGGCCACAGCCTGGCTGGTCCCCATTCCTCTCTCCCCAGTGTTGAGTGTCTTAGTCGTTATGGTGTGACGGCGTGAGGGCATGATGACCATTGCATATTAGCACTTTATTACATAGGATATGTCAATAGATATTTTGAGAAATGCATAACCCTCACAGAGATATAGGTATAGGTACTAACATACTAAGGTATACAAATGTACCACAGTTATAGTAATAGCATTATTATTCACAAGATATATAATGCCCCAACAAGATACATTTTTATCATGAACTTCATAATGAATATATAAATAAGTAGAAGACATGAAAATGAGAATGTCAGAAAAAGAATGTTTTAAGACAAAAATAAAATTAAGTAGAAAGAACCATGCATGAATTATATATGTAGGTATTCCGGAGTGAAGGGAGGAAGTTCAAGTTAGGGTCTAAGAGGAGACTGTCTGGCCTGTGCTAAGCAAGGAAGAGAGGAGTAACAATCCAGGAATCCAGGTGCCAACCAGGTGGGCCTGAAAAATAGAAGGGCCAACTCCCTCGCTTTGATGAGAATCTGCTTTATTTCTGCTACCAATCACTACCAAGAAAAGACTTCAGTAGCTAAAGAGAAAACAGTCATCTGTGTATTCTCTCCACTCATTTCCTGAATAACCTAAAGGAAATAAACAGGTGGATAGTGAACGCTTTTATTCATATGCTTCCTGCTCTAGGAAAGTGGTATTTCTTTTTCTTTTTCTGTTTTTACTAAAAATAATAGATTTTTATTTTCAGATTTAAGTTGTGCTGTGAACTTTGCAGAAGACAAAAACAAACAGCAAAAATGAAATGTCACAAAACAACCAAATGAAAACTGAGCCTCCCAAGGAAGTAGCCTCTAAAGGACAAATGAGAGTGAGCATCAGAGTGAGGTGCCAAGGGATAGTGGCAGCCTGGAAACCAGGCACCGAGCACGCTCCTGTCTTTATTTGTCCATGAACTATTTGGTTTGCTCGGCTTGGTCCATGAATGCCCCATTTAGCAGCATTCTGAACTCATCAAACCCTCTGATTTATAGCTATCCAGCACTGGGCTGCTCTTTGAAAACTATTTTCTTTGTTCTTACCAAATTTTTTTCTTTTTTAAACAAATTTATTGGGGTGACATTGGTTAATAAAATTTTATAGTTTTCAGGTGTACAATTCTATAATACATCATCTGTATATCGTATTGTGTGTTCACCAACCCAAAATTAAGTTTCTTTCCATCTCCATTTATCCCTCCTATACTTTCTCCTACCTCTCCTGCGGGAAGCCACCGCTTGCCAATACTGTCACGAGAGTGCACGAAGGAACGCGGAAGGCTGATGGACTGATGCTAAGCACCTCATCTCTTGAGACAATGGTGGCTGCAATTCCCTAACCTGATAATCTTTTTACTGTTTACCAAACTTTACCTTTGATATGCCTGTATGCATTGCTAAAGGGCAAATGTGTGTTCAAGTAAATAAAAAGCGAACAGGCCAGAGGTCAGTGTGCTCACCATGAAAGAGAACCCCCACCCTGGCCCCAATGCCTTCTAAATTCATATTTCCTGTATAGCATTTTCATTTGTGTGTCGGCCCCGTCTTCAGATCCTGAACCCCATCATGCAGGTCACAGAACCCTCCCCATCTGGCAATCTTATACTGTTGTCTATGTCTATGAGTTTTGTGGGTTTTCTTTAATTTAATTCCTTCACCTTTTTCATCCAGCCCTGCAACCACCCTTCCCTCTGACAGCTGTTAGTCTGTTCTCTATCTATGAGTCTGTTTCTATTTTGTTAGTTTATTTTATTCATTAGATTCCACATATGAGTGAAATTATATGATACATGTCTTTCTCTGACTGGCTTATTTCACTTAGGATAATGCTCTCCAGGTCCATCCATGCTATTGCAAAGGGTAAGATTTCCTTCTTTTTTACACGCAAGTAGTATTGCACTGTGTAAATGTACCACAGCTTTTTTATCCACTCTTCTACTGATGAACACTTGGGCTACTTTCAAATCTTGGCTATTTTAACAATGCTGCAATTAACATAGGGGTGCATATATTCTTTCAAATTAGCATTTTGGGTTTCTTCAGATATATTCCCGGAAGTGGAATCACTGGGTCATAAGGCAGTTCTATTTTAATTTTTTTTTTTTAGGTAACTCAATACTGTTTTCCCCAACAGCTGCACCAATCTACATTCCCACCAACAGTTCACAAGGGTTCCCTTTTCTCCACATCCTTGCCAGCAATTGTTGTTTGTTGATTTATTCATATTAGGCATTCTGGCAGATGTGAGGGGATATCTCATTGTGGTTTTAATTTGCATTTCTCTGACATTGAGCATATTTTCTTATGTTGATTGTCCATCTGTATGTCCTCTTTGCAGAAATGTCTATTCTGGTAAGGTGGGATTTCTTGAGAAACACAAAAAATATCATGGAGAGGATAGTTTTTAAGGACTGAAGCAAGAAAAATAAATGGGACTTGGACATGCAGAATCAGGGAAGGATTCTAGATGGAAAATGCATTTTGAACAAAGTCAAATGCAATTTCAAACATGCTGAAGTCTCAACTCCAACTTCTCTCTTTCCAGATCATTCATTCTAGTAGTCTAATTCCAACTATCTTTTGGCTTCCCTCCTCTCAGCAATTCAGGTACCTTCTTACATGGTTTAAATTCTATCATTATTTCCTTGCATAAATTTTTAACTTCCTTGGCTTTGTCTTATACTTGCTTGGAAAAACCCCAACCATGGCTTAAATGAAATTCTTTTCCTTCCCTCTATATTGCATGTAGATGAATATGACAGGGTAAAAATACACAGTCATGCTAACTTATTTCTCTTAAATCTATTACCAAGTGTGCCCTTAAAATAGCCAGGCAATTATATTTTCTAGTCCATTTGCTTTCACTTGCTTTTACTTTATGTTTTCTCTCTTCTCTACTATCCAATACCTCCTTCTCATCCTCCCTCTTAGTTAATGACCTCACTTCCGAGTTTACTGAGTTAAAAAAAAAGCCATCAAAAGAGAAACACTACAAGTTCCCTTCTTCACAGATTCCTAATTACTGGTATTTGTACCATGTACTCTGCCTACCTTCTTCATACAGATGAACTCTCTGTGCTGCCATCTAAGGCTCCCTCCCATTTGTGTACTGGATTCCACCCAACTATATTATGCCAGTAATTTGTTCATCTCTATTCTCATCATCAAGGTTTCCCTCCCCTTTTGCATTATTCCCAACAGTATAAACACTTCCACTATTTGCTCTTCCTTTAAAAATTAATAATATAACAAAACAAAACACTGCCTGGTATCTGAATTATACCTTAATAAAGCATTTATTTTATTTAAAAATATGTTTTTATTGATTATTTTTAGAGAGAGAGGGATAGAGAGATAGAAACATTGATGAGAGAGGAACGTCAATCAGCTGCCTCCTGCACATGCCCCATTGAGGATTGAACACACAATCCAGGCATGTGCCCTGACCAGGAATCAAACCGTGACCTCTTGTTTCATAAGTTGACGCTTAACCACTGAGCCATACCTGCTGGGCAATAAAGCTTTTATTTTTAAAAACCATTGAACTCACTTCCCTTTCAGCTCTCTCTACAAATTTCTCTGCTCCCCTTAATGATGAAACTTCACAAAGTTACTTGTGCTCATTGCCTCCACTTCCTGACTTCTCATTATCTCATGACTAACTCAACTCCCATCAAGTTTTCACTCAATCATTGCATTACACAAAATGTGCTCTTGTCAAGGACAATGGAATCCAACAGTCAGTTTCCAGTCCTGGTTTCACTGACCTCTTAACATTTAACACATAGTTGATTAATTCTTCCTTCTTGTTACACTCTGACTTCTGCAATTTCCAGGGTTTTTGTGTTGTTTTGTTTTTTTCCTATCTCATTTGCTGTTTCCTCTTATTCTTCTCTTGCTGATTTTTTCTCATTTCCATAACTTATTTTCTTAAATAATTCTTTTTTTTAATTACAGTTGACGTATAATGTTCTA